GGGGGGGGGGTTCCTGGGGGAGTAAAGATGGCAGTGGGCACAGCCACAGTGCCTCCATTCCCAAATACTCTTCAAAGCACCCATCTTACAGTGAGGAGCCTAAAGGCCAGAGGGTGCGAGGGGCTTCCTCCAGGAGCAGGGGCCCTGTCGAGGGACCTGCTCCTCCTTGCAAGGCCTTCCCTGCTTGGCGTAGCTCAGTGCATCCTCAGTGCTGACAGTCGGTGCATGTGAAAACCCTGAAAGGCTAATGTGCGCTGCTAGGATGGGTATCCCCAAGTGCGGCACTCCTACCTGTGAAAAATAAGTGCCTCTTTGTGGTTTCCTTTCTCTTCTCTAAACAGGGGTTCAGCAGGCGAAGCAGCTGCAGCACGCGCTCCTCCCTCCGCGACTCTGTGAGGCAGGCGTCATTCATGACGAGGTACGGGTAGATCTTGCCGTTGTGCCCGCGGATGTACAGCCTCCTGGCTGCAGTGTTGTGCTTCTGCACAATTTCCACTCTGGGCATAAACCTACCAAAACAAGCAAACTCCCTCAGCCTCAAATTCCAATCCTTTTCTTTGAAAAGAAAATGGAGCTTTCCAAAAGCAGTAGTAGGAACCGTCATGGAAATTAAGACTGTATAGTTACATTTGTTCATTTATTCACACCCCACTCTCGTTTGGACAAGGTATAAATAGTGCAATTACATCACAAAACAAGAAAAGTAACCACAGCAGAGGGGAAACAAAATGCGGAAAGATGAAGCTGGAGTTTCAAAGACCAGGAATCCAACTCCAGGAGCTATGTGTGGGGTGCTGGTCTGGCCCTGAGCACAGCAGCGGCACTTCTGGGAGGGCACAGGTCCGACCTCTGGGAGCAGGACAGCCCTGCCTGGCACTCACAGGACCCGAGGAGCAAGCGTGGCGACTGACACACCCTTGCCCTCACCTCCTCACCATGGGCCTTGGCCACTGACGCAGATCAGGGAGAAGGAGGCTGGCCAGGGCGGCAGTCAGGTCTGGGGGAAAGGAAGACTGAATTCCGGGTGTGCGGAAAAGCAGGGCTCTGTGTCTGAGTGTGAAGTAAAAGGAAACACCTGACTATTTGTTAAGGGAGCCTCTTCACAGAACTCTTTACATTTCTTTTTTTAAATATATCTTTATTGATTATATAGAGATAGAAACATCAATGAGAGAGTCATCATTGATCGGCTGCCTCGAGCCCGCAACCCAGGCATGTGCCCTGACCAGGAATGGAACCGCGATCTCCTGGACCCTAGGTCGATGCTCAACCACGGAGCAAAGCCCGGCCGGGCAACTCTACATTTCAAATGAGATGGAACACACTCCACTAAATTCTACAACGGTCTGCTTCTGTTTGAACACTGTGCTGTAAGTGTGAACAGGGACAGGGAAACTTTACTTTTCTAGTTCTATAGGGATTCAGAAAAGGTTCTTTGGAAGCAAACACAAACTTGACTCAAATGAGACATTTAACCCATCGGTCAGAGCAGACCCTTTCAGGTGCGGATGTTGAAATCCTAAGACAACCTTCTCTCTGAAACACTGTACCTGGCCTGCCCGGCAGCCTCTATCTGCAGGGAATGTGTTAGTAACCGAGTCAGGCCAAGCTCACTCACCGAGCAATCTTGATATAATAGTGCGTCGGCTTTGGCATCAGAAACTCCCCTGGGATTTCTACTTCAGCTGTCTGTGCGGAGAAATTGCTCAAAAACCGACACTTTTCTTCTATGAGGAAGAATTTTGGAAGCTGCTTGGTTTTGGCCTCCAGAATTTTGATCCACTTTTTCAATTTAGAAATGAGGTTATGAAGCTTCATGGATCCTGGAACACTGAAGTCAAAATCTTCAAAATAAAATATGAAAAAACATTTTTAGTCATCTGGGCTATTTCCAATTCACCCCAAAATCCCTACGCAAGCACCTCCCCATTAGGAATAGGCCTATTTTCTATCTCATCTGGCGTCAAGCCTTACAGCTCCTCTTGCTCTTTAGTAACTTGGGGCCTGAGAGAGAGAGAGTGGAGCCCCGTCTCTCCCAGTGCCACATGGACCCTCACCCCAATCACAACCTGTCCCCTTCAGGAAGTATGCAGAAACCCCATGGGAGCCCCTGCATAAAGGTCTCAGCATTGAGCCCCGCCACCACCACCAAAAGGTGCCGGGAGCCCATCTGACACCCCTAGAGGTCACCTTTGAGAGCGAGGATCACCCCAGGAAACCAAGGCCCTGTGTGAAAGCCAACACAGGACAGACATCAAGCTGAAGCTAAAGGAGACAATATCCAGGAGGAGACTAAGTTATGTATCAGTTCATCAGGAGTTAGGCAAGATATCAAAATGACAAAAGCGGAAAACGTGCACTTTTCACTTAAGCAATTAAAAACTCTGGTTAATGTAGTTCTGAGTTTATTAAGACTCAATAATAAAAAGTCAGTTAAACTGAAAAATCCTTCTTTAAAAAAGAACCTCATTTCCCGCCCAGATTAGCACCAGCGGTGGGAGGGATTCTCATCACCTAATTTGCCAGAGCCCAAAGGTCAGGAAAAGCCCAACCATTTCTGTTGGAAACACAGATTGGTGGGAGCCACGAGGAGGCACTGTCCTAAACGAGATGGCTGCGTTACGTGGCAGAGGCACCTTCACACAGCTGAAAGCAGCAAGGGGCCCCAGTCTCTCCAACGCCTCTTTCAAACACTCTTCTGAACACCCCTCTGCCCAGAGTTAGGTCGTATGGGGTGAGCCTGGGCAGGGCTGCCCTGGAAGACACAGGCCCTGCCCAAACTCCTGCCCCCTCTTCTCACCGCCTTGCTGGGGACAGAGCCTCCTGCCCACTTGGCAAAGGCTTCCCTCCTCCCCACCTCCTTCTCGTCCAGGGCTGCTGCAGACTGGACTGCAGCTAAATGCCGAGAAAATGGCTGAGGAGTCAACACTATGAATCTGGAACCAGAAACTGGTGAAAGCCCGATCAATACTGACACAGGAGGCACCAGAGTGAGTGTAGCTGTCCAAGCGCAAACCTGCTCTCGGCACGATCAGCACGCTAATCGAGGTGCTCTCCTGTCCATCGCCAAGCTCCCTCGTGGTCCCCCTTATAACTACACCCCCTCCTCCCCCATCCCCACCGCCTGACCACACTAATCCATTCTCCCTCTCTAGTACTATGTTATTTCACAAATATTTCATAAACGAGAATCACGCAGTAGGTATCCTTTTGAGATTGGCTTTCTGCAGTCGGTATCAATTTCTTCAAGGTTCATCCAAGCCGCTACATGTTAAGTCCTTTCTATTTATTTTATATGAGGGCGGAAGTACCACGCTTTGTTTCCCCATCCTCCGTCTGTGGCATCTGGCTTGTTCCAAGGTTAGGGCTGTTACAAACAAAGTGGCTTTGAACATTCATGTACAAGTTCCTGTGGGCAGTCAGAATTCACTCTCCGGGATAATTTGATGGAACCTTTTTGAACTTTCTTCCACCATCTTGCAGAGGAGAACACAGCACTGAAACAGAGACGGTCATCCCGGGCACAGTGACCACAGTGACAGGAGAGCTCTGTTGTGCATCTGAAGCTCACTGAGGGTTATGGTGGCTCAGAGTCTGGAAGCTGACTCCTTTCAAATTCCAGTTTTTGCCCCCCTTTTTTTCAAATCCAGATGATCTGTCCTGCTTCAAATCTTTATTTCAGACTACATTTGATTTAATAATCTGGAACTTTAAGATGAAGACATACCGAATATCACCTCTTTTAAGGTAAATATGATAGTTTCCATAAAACTCTAGCCTCAAACCATTCCTTTTCCAGAGAAGGATAACAGACCACGTTATGTGACCTTTACAAAGGAAAAAACCTAAGACGACAGGAGCACTTCAGTGTAAAAGACCTGAGAGGGCATGACTCTTACTTTTCAAAGAGTACTTTCCTCAAGGGGCTGGTTCTTCAGTGGAAGCCTCTCAACCTTAACGCCCAGCTCACATGTCAAGAGCGGGACGCCTGGCACAGGGCTGCTGGAATGACGACGGGGCGCCTGTTCTCTTAGATACAAATCTTTTAAAAAGATACTTAAATATCTAAAAAATGTGAACCATTTATTCTATGATTTAGCATATCAGTGAGGAAAGAATGTTTTAAAGACGGTTACAAAATCAGTAATTAAGCTGAAATGTTTCTCTCAGTTTTGGGAAATTTTACCAGACACATCTTGTTTTCATGTGGTAAACACTCATGTGTTGACACTCAGGACTCACAAGCCTGCAGCAGTTGTTCAGGCTAAAGTCTGGGACCTGGTGCTCCCACAGGAGGGAGCCTATCCCAGACCAGTGGGATGGAGGGAGAGCAAGGATTGGGAACGACTGCGCTGAGACCCAGGGACGCCACACCCGCACGTGCTGGGGTATGAGGACCCCAATCTGACGGGTGAAGACAGGCTAAGGGAGACTGGACCATTTACCTCAGACCATGCAGAGCACGGCAGAGCCAGAATTCATGCTTCTCCAGGTCCAGGACAATGCATGAACCTGAACCAGGGACAAGTAATAAAAACACAGTCTCCCTATCACTGTGCCACCAGAATCCACTGCAAGTTTGAACTTTACATGACACCTCAAGCCCTGCACCTTTAAGTCTCACTGCCTTACCTTACTTACACTGTTGAGTTTTCCCACAAAAACCAAGTGGAGGGAGGGATTGAGGAGCAGGAGGTTTGGCCTAAAGCCATCCTGTTTCTAACCTGGAGCTTGGTGCTCTGGCTCCAAACCTCAATCCTACTCTGGAGAGAAGAACATGTAGTCGCAGGCTGGTGGCCTAAAGGTTTCCTTGTGAGGAGCCAAAACAGTGTAACAGCTCGCCCAGTACAGTGACAAGAAAATGAATGAACACAATTACCTTATATGCTAAAGCCCAAGGGAAAACTGAGCGGAACTTTCCCTAGTGCAGGAAGGAGAAAGTGAGACTCACCGGTTGTGAACTGGCCCTTCAGCTTCTGGAAGACAGGGTCCTGAGCAGTGGCCTGCGCCCGCCTGGCTAGAGACTCGGAGGCCGCACTAGAGAACATGGTGGAGACGTTGGACACGTTCTCCAGGCCCACCCCAAACGTGCTCACCAGCTTCTTGACAAAGTTCAGAGTATGGGGGGTAATTTTGGCATCGGACACAGCTCCACTTTTCTCAAATGCAACTGAGTAACATTTCGCCAGGCCCTGTTGGAGCTGCCTGAGAACCTAGAGGAAAGACACCAAACACAATTCACAAAAGAAAGCTCTTGATCCAAGCAGCTAACCTAACACAGAGCATCTGGCCAGCACGTCCCCACCACCACCAGGGCGATTTCTGGGGCCATCCAGCACACAGTAGGTGTAAAATCAATATGTGCTCCATCCACATCATGAGCTGTGTGTGTTTTTAACAATGCAGAGTTAAGTGTCCTGAACATTAAAAAAACACTTTTTTGGTCATGTACATCCCTTCTGTTGATTAACCATAGGAAAAGCTCATTCAGATGCTGTTACCGCCCCACGTCTGTGTGCACACAAGAGAACACTGTGATTACAAGAGGGCCTAGTGGCCAACTAGATAAATATCTGGGCAATAAAAGCTGATTATTTTATCATCAGCTTATACAAACACCATTAAGGGGGTGGCCCTGCTGCTGAAAAGATCACTGAAGAACTCACTCCTGCCTCTGGGGATTACTCCAGTCAGTCACCTCCGTCACCGCTCCTGCCCTGCTGCCTGGTCAGTTCATGGCAGGTAGTGACTGAGCTCAACACCAGTGAGCAGAGTAAGCACTTTGAGGGCAGAAATGGTTTTCTCAACTTCATGCTCTTTTGAAGTCTCCTGCTTCAAACATTCAAGGCCACACTAGTGTGCAGACATTAACTCTCTGCCTGCTCCATCGTTCAACTCAACAACACACACATATAGTGACCAGGCAGCTAACTGAAGGTCACATGGCCATAAAAACCTATAGAACAACACTCTTGAGATCACATTCACATACCTCTTCATGCCAGTTTTCTCGGAACCAGACCATCTGATCGACGATGCCTTCCAGGGAAGACAGCAGGGTTGGGTGCAATTCCCGCTGCATGTGCATGATTCGGCTGCAGCGCCACATGGGTGCTGTTGCTCTTATGGGCCCTGGATCTGATGCAGAATGGGACTGGTTACCCACTGAACTTGGCTGCTGCTGTCCAGAATCTGAGAGCAACACATACAATGCCAATGTCAGCGCAAAACTGACCAATGCTAGAGCTCGGTGCTCTAGAGGACCCACCGGCCAAAGGAACGCTGGTTCCTGCCGATGCTAACATACACGAGACCATTTCCCCAGGACTGTGTGGGAGGATGCCCTGGCTCTCAGGAGAGGCGCCCTGAGGGACTCAGGCACAGAGTATGACTGTCTACAACCTGGCTTCAGCTGGTTCAGCAGAGCGTGGCATGCTGATAGAAAAGCAAACGTGGCAGCACACTAGCTGGGGAACCCAGGTGAGGCTGCGCAAGTGTCACTGTGCTCTCTCTTAATTTGACTTTAAGTGTGAACATGTTTTTAATGTTTAGAAAAAGTATTTGGCAATACGTTCTTTGTACTGTAGTTCAGAGAACCTGGAAGCAGTTTGTTAACAAGCAAGTTCACATTTTCACCTAGCAAAGCTGAACCACCTGTGAAATGGTAATTTTGAAAAATACAGTCACTTGCTGTAAGGAAAACATTATTAAAACCCACGAATCCCCTTTTTCTAGCTTCAGCTCATTTAGAATAATTTTCAAATGAGCAAAACATGAATCTACCTAGCTGGACCCAGAATGTCAGAGCTGAAACGTGCTGTGCAACCTCCTAACCCACCCAGCTCACTGGCAGGCAAAGCTGCCATGACCAGCAGTCACCTGCTGAGAAAGACTCTGGTCTCAAAGCATGAATGTCTGGGCATTGAACAGTCCTTTAATTGTGTACAAAGCACCATGCTTAGTGGGCAACTGAAGCCATCAAATAAGTCGTTTCTTTACATACTAGGGCTACTCAATATAGATTTAAAATCTTATAGTAACTAACATTTATACTGCTTACCAGGATGTATTTATATTAATAAGGCAAGTTATTTGTAATTATCTATAGCTAAAAATTTCATATATGATTTCTACTTAAGGATCAAAACATTCAGTTGAGCTTTAAAGATCACTCAGGTAAATGGACACCCAATTACATTATGGCAAAGGAGAACCATTAAATGTGAGATGGGCTCTGCCTTCTGGTCCCAAAATATCTTCTCTCACTGGCTAAAGGAAAGACCGGCCCGCATGCTAGGAGTCCACAGCAGACTGGATGGGAATGGCCCCATGAAACATGCCCTCTGCAGCCTGGCCAGCTGCCCCCCAAGACATACCGCTCTTGTAGCGTTCCCGCTGCTCTATTTTCAGGGTCAGGTACAGGGTCCGGATGGGAAAGTAGACTGCCTGGGGATACACTCGTCCGACCTGCTCAGAGAATGAAGAGCAATGCTCACCGCTGTTCATCTGGATGTAGACACTTTTTGTATCAAAATAACTGATGTAAGTCATAAATGGGTGGCTGGTCTACATTTGGACCAAGGAAGCAAATATTGCACCACTGATCTAATACATGAATCCAGATTCAACAGCAGGTAAAACATCCAGCTGAGCTTTAAAGATCCAAGAAAGATCAGTGTGGTGCATTCATTTCAGCAGCTCTGCATGGGGACCATTAATGACACAGAAACCATATTTCATTTGATTCAGTAAATCTCAGAAAGGCAAAATGCTCAAGTCCCTGGTTGTCACTCAGGCAAACACAAAATAACAGCAGTCAGTCTTCTATTTGGCACAGTACACTGGGAACAGAAATGATTCTAGCTGAATATTAGGCTTATCGGTGAATAACTTTACTCTGCACAACTGAAGGAGGAGATTTAAAATTTTCTATTTACAGTAAGAAAAAAGTTTTACCGAATTGGGGTTACAGGGCTCCTTCAAAGGGAGAAGTAGATATTATCTCGCTCTGGCACAGGCCACAGGGCGGTTGGCTAATGTACATTAAGAGATGTTCAATGAATGAAAATACAAATAGACCCAATCTACATCCTGATAAACCCCAAGCAAAATGCCAGTATCCGGAAACACAGCTACCTCCTCTCAAGAAATAAAACCACTTCTGGGTACAACGCAGATGATGCACCACATGTAAAAAGCAAAGTAAACTGACAGGATGATGAGTGGCGTGTTCTTAAGAGCTTGGTGACGATGCTCCTCATTCATGAAAAGTTGAATGACTATAATTTTATAAAAGGAAGCACAAAGGTACTGTATTCCAGACTGAAGTGTCTTTAAATTTCTATTATTTCGTTCCTTCCTCTAACCTGTCTTTTCTCAGGGGAGGAACATTCTGGAACCATCTGAAATAATGGTCATGAAAGCCATCTATCTGATGCCCATCCCCAACCCCAGTGCATGCACCTTTCAGCCTCTAACAACAGCAGCCAAACAACTCTACCAAGAGCAACAACCTCCACATTTATGGCTGAGCTTTATCCCAGCACAGACAGAAAATCAGTTACGAAATGTCAATCAGATACATGTTTCACTGTGACTAACTCTCAGAGTACTTACTAGTAATCTTACATTTTAAGAGAATGTTTATTTTACAGTAGAACCTCAGTTTTGGAACTTAATTCATTCCGGAAGGCTGTTCAAGAAGCAATTTGTTCGAAAACCGAATAATTTTTTCCCATTAGAAATAATGTAAATTGAATTAATTCATTCCAGATCCCCAAATGATTCCGTTTTAACCTTTCTTATATACAGCACATGTCTAATGTACTGTTTAATCTATAAACAAACACTTCTTTTCTTAAATTTATCAAACCGCCCCCTACTAGCATTAAAGGAATCACATTCAGCACTCATTCCAGGGGTGTCTTTCAGGAAGTCAGTATGCTACACCTTTGCTTTGTCACCTATCAGTGTCTCCCTGCTGTCACCAGCTACTGCTTTTCATTTATCCAAATCAACAGTTTTTCTACCTCTTCAACTGCCTGTGAAGTTTCTTTCACACCCGTAGCAACATTAACACTTCTGATGGCCTCTTTATGTTTTAAAATTGTGCGAATCATCCACTTCACCAGCAACAAGCAAAATAAAAACACAAAAATATTCACAGCACAGTTTCCTGAGATGTTAACAACACAAGGTTTAGCGGTAAACTGACTCACATTCTCTCCTTTGTTTGTGGCACGAGAGATGCTTTTTGTCATGCTGAAGTATCAGCATGAAAGGGTTGTCAGGTCAAGAACAAAAGTTTTTTGACATTTTTCCCGTGAAAAACTTAGTCAAGAACAGAATTTTTTGAGATAGGAGACAGTCGAGAACCAAGTTCTGACTATACTTGCATCTTACGTGGCAACTTGTTCAAACAAAGAAATTACCATTTTAATACTGTAACACTACAGCAGATTATTTCGTGTCAACCCTGACATATTCTCCAGTCACATTTAATTGTGTTTTATATCAAGTGACAGCCAAAGGTGTACATATTCCCATCTCTCTAGCTTATTCCCATACGCTGAGCATGCACACTTTCTTTCGGGAAAAAAAAGAATGTGAAATGAAGACATAAGTTTTTGTGAACAAAGACACCTTCTTATTCCGACCTGGCTAATGAGGTTCAAAAGCAGTTTTCCTTCAGAGCCAACCAGGCAGGTGAGCAGCTGCGGGATCCAGGCCAGCCACTGGATGGGTGGCACGCCAATGCAGTACTTGTCAACAGCATCTGCCAAAGTATTTTTATCATCATCGAAACTTAAAAGCCACAGCACCTAAGATAGAAGGAAAAATTCTAGAGTTGAATAAAATTCTGAAGCCTTTAAATACTCAGAAACCTAAGCATATACATTCTTTTTTACAGGCAAAAGGAAAGAAACCATTATTTGTACAGTTGATCCTGGAAAATATATGGAGTTTGTATGATGCTGTCTTTTAAATGCCGTCTTTTAAAGGTTAAATGGCTTTTTCCCAGCATTAAAATACCATACAGAGTAGTTTTAGTGGAAACATATATCCACCAAAGGGCCAACAATATTGCTCAGCTTAATAAAACCAAAAATTTAAGTAAAGTTTTTTGCTTAGATTTAGTTTTACTACTAGTTATTAAGTGATCCAATGAACTGGCTAGCGGTGACCAGTGACCCTAAGGAGGCAATAGGTGATGGCAAGGGCCTGCCAACCTGCTAATTCACACTCATGATCTCACCAAAACAAAATGGACTTCTGCTAAAAAAATCTCAGATGGACACCACCCCAGTATCAGGTAGGCCACAGGTTGGCAGCCCAGTGTCCAAGGATGTCTGAAACAATGACATCTAGAAATAAGCAATTTTGGAGTCAGATATGGAGGTAGTCTCTTTGCGTCATGACGGTTTGTTTCTATAGTTGGCTGGAACTACCATGCGCTGATGTACATTCCAAATTTTGGCATCACATCAAAGAATTATAAAAAAACCCAAACCTTTAATAAACAAAACTGAAAAGAAGAACAACTTATTCTTAAGTTTTCTGCAAGAATTAATTCTGGGCTGTACTTATATGTTTCAGGGCAGGGACAAGGGATGAGAGGGAGCAACACTGAAGAACTCTCAAGCTGATGACCATCGTTGGGCACACGTCACATTGCCAATCCTGTGCCTGGTGCTAAACTGGGGCAACAGAGAATGCCAGCAACTGCAACCTCACCCCGTAGTGTGTACAGAAACCATGTGATTCAACATGACCTGCAACTACAGCTGACAGGCTCTATGGCCTTGTGCACTGTCCCTACAGATGAGAGATCAGAATTTAACAGGTATCTAGCAGGTAAGTTCTCCTTGCAGACTCCTCATCAGTCTGCAGGAACCTCTGTCCAGGGTGATATCTGACAGAGAACACTGTACTTGAGACCAAAGACCCAGACTCCAGACTCGGTTTTACTGCTTAAATGTCCTGGGACCCTGAGTATATCCAGGCCTGAGTTTTCTCAGCTTTGAAATTGAACTATGGCCCTGGCTGGTGTGGCTCAGTGGTTAGAGCATCAGCCTGCAGACCAAAGGGTCACAGGTTCGATTCCTGATCAAGGGCACATACATGGATTGTGGATTCATTCCCCAGCCCCAGTCGGAGCTCGTGAGGGAGGCAACCAGTCAATGTCTCTCTCTCATACTGATCTTTCTCTCTCTCTCTGTCTCCCCCTCCCTCCCTCCCTTCCTTCCATTCTCTCCATAAAATCAATGGAAAAATACCATTGGATGAGGACTTTTTTAAAACTTTGAACTAGGAACAGTACTTTGAAGAGTGATAAAAATGGAGAGTTAAAGCCATGAAATAAGCCTCTCACCCAGCATGAATTTGGAAATAGCTGAACTGTCATCCAAACTTGAAGACTACCAGATTGATCTTTGGTCAAAGCTAATTCTTTTAACCTCACCTTGGCTAAGTATTTCCTTGATTTGCTCTCATTCTGATGCCGGCATGCATGCAAGTAACAGGTAATGGCAGACACTCCAAGGTGCAGCTGCCGCTCCTTCACAAAAATGTTCTCCAGGTAATCGCCCCACATGGCCCAAGCTTTCACCAGCACATCGTGCATCTGCACAGCTGCAGAAAAGGCTTTGTTTGCTTCCTCAGACCTGTGAAGACACAAATCAAAACATTAATTTGGTTTTCTTTTCAGATGAACTTCACGTAAAAAAATCAACCAATTAAAAGTGAGTAGGTATTCGGTGGCATTTAGTACACTCATATACTTTAGACAATAGGTTGTGAGCTACCACTTCTATGTAGTGCCAAGTCACTGTCATCATCCCAAAACAAAACCCCTAGCCATTCAGCGGTCACTCTCCATTATCCACACTCTCCGGCGACCACCAGCCCGCCTGCTGTCTGTATGTAGTATTTACCAATTCTGCATGTTTTGTAAGGGAATCACACATTATGTGATTTAGTGTGTGTCTGGCTTTTCACTTAGCATAGAGTGAAGCATGTACGAGTCCTTTATTTCTTTTTATGAGTGAGTGCTATTCCACTACCTGTATATGTCACATTTTGTTTATCCATTCATTCAAGTTGTTTTAACATTCTAGTTACTGTGAACATTCGTGAACAAGCATCTACATGAGAACCTGTTTTCAATTATTTTGGGTATATACCAAGGAGTGGAACTGCTAGGTCATATGATAATCCTATGTTTAATTTTCTGAGGAACTGACAAACTGTTTTCCACAGTGGCTGCACCATGTTAGTATCACACCAACAATGCACAATATATCAAAGAGAACTACGGACCCATATCCCTTATGAATACAGATGCCAGCATCCTCAACAAAATATTAGCAAACCAAATCCAGCAGCATATTGGACCAAGAGGGATTTACAATATATAAAAATCAATCCATATAATACACCACATTAATAGAATGAAGGAGAAACACGTTGTCTCAGTTGATGAAGAAAAAACATTTTACAAAATCCAACACCTTGTCATGATAAAAACACTCAACAAACTAGGAATAGAAGGAAACTACCTCAACATGATGGTCATATACCAGAAGCCCACAGCTAATATGCTCAATGATGAACAACTAAAAGGTTTTCCTCTGAGATCAGGAACAAGACAAGGGTGCTCATTTTCACCACTTCTACTTCACCTTAGTGCTGAATTCTTAGCCAGAGAAATCAGACGTGCAGATTGGAAAGGGAAATGCAAACTATCTCTCTTTGCAATTTACATAATCTTACATATAGAAAGCCCTGAAGAAGTCACAAAAGAACTATTAATGCAAATATATTTGGCTAAGTTGAAAAATATAAGATCAATATTTAAAATCCAGTTGTATTTCTATACCTTAGCAATAGACAATCTGAAAATAAAATTAACAATTTACATCAAAAGGAATAAAAAATTTAAGAATAAAATTAACATAAGAAATGCAGGCTCGACTTGTACATTGAAAACTAGAAAATATTGTTAAATGAAACTAAACATGACCTAAGTAAATGAATCCTGTGTTCATGGATTGGAGATTTAATACTGTTACAGTGGCAATAACCTCCCCCCAAAATAATCTACAGATTCAGTTCAACCCCTGTCATAATTCCAACTGCCTTTTTTTTTTTTGCAGAAATAAATAACCTAAAATTCATATGGAACTGTAAGGGACCCCCAAAAGCCAAAACAATCTTGAAAAAGAACAAACTTGGAGAACACTTCCCAACTTCAAAACTTACTGCAAAGCAGCAGCAATCAAGATAGTGTGGTACCAGTGTAAGGGTAAAATACACATCAACAGAGCTGCGTGTCCAGAAATGAACTCTACACTCCTGGTTAACTGATTCAGAGTTAAGGCCACTCAATGGGGAAAGAACAGTCTTTTCAACAAATGATGCTGGGAACAACACGATACACACATAAAAAAAAATGAATTCTGGACAGCTACCCTAATGTCATATTAAAAAATCAACTCAAATGTAGGACATAAAGACATAAATGTAGGAGTTAAAGTTATAAAACTCAGAAGAAACCACAGGAGTAAATGCACATGACCTTGGGTTAGGCAATGGTGACTTAGATATAAAACCAAAAGTAGAAGCAACAAAAAAAAATTGATAAATTGGAGTCTTCAAAATGATAAACTTTGTGCATTAAGGACACTATCACAAAAGTAAAAAGATTGCCTACAGAATGTGAGAAAATATTTGCAAATGATGTATCTGAAAGAAACATATACAGATAGATAAGAATAGAACTCAACAATAACAAGTCAAATACCGAATTTAAAAATGGGCAAAGTGCCCCGCCAGCATGGTTCAGAGGTTGAGCATCAACCTAGGGTCCAGGAGATCCGGGTTGGATTCCCGGTCAGGGCACATGCCCGGATTGCGGACTCGATCCCCAGCAGGGGGTGTGCAGGAGGCAGCCGATCAATGACTCTCTCATNTGCAAATGATGTATCTGAAAGAAACATATACAGATAGATAAGAATAGAACTCAACAATAACAAGTCAAATACCGAATTTAAAAATGGGCAAAGTGCCCCGCCAGCATGGTTCAGAGGTTGAGCATCAACCTAGGGTCCAGGAGATCCGGGTTGGATTCCCGATCAGGGCACATGCCCGGATTGCGGACTCGATCCCCAGCAGGGGGTGTGCAGGAGGCAGCCGATCAATGACTCTCTCATCACTGATGTTTCTATATCTCTCTCTCCCTTCTTCACTCTCTGAAATCAATAAAGATATATTTTTTTTTAAAAAAAGGGGCAAAGTAACTGAATAGATTGTGTAGAAAAGATATATAAATGGCATAGAAGCATCTAAAAGATGCTAAACATCCTTAGTCATTAGAAAAACACAAATCAACCACCATGAGATACCACTTCAAACTCACTAGGACAATCACAAAAATAATAAGTGCTGGCAAGGATGTGGAGAAACTGGAAACCACAGACAATCCTGGTGAGAATTAAAATGGAGCACCTACTGTATAAAGCTGGCAGTTTCTCAAAAAGATAAAGAAGTACTGCCCTGGCCAGTGTTGCTCCGTGATTAGAGCGTCAGCCCAAGCACCAAGGGTCTCCAGTTCAATTCCCAGTAGGGCACGGTACTGGGTTGCAGGTTCGATCCCCAGCCCCAGTTGGGGTGCATGTGGGAGGTAACCAATCAATGTGTCTCTCTCACATCGATGTTTCTTTCTCCCCCCGCCGCCCCTGCCTCCCTTCCACTCTCTCTAAAAATCAATGGGGAAAAAATATCCTCGGGTGAGGATTAACCGAACAAATAAAAAGAATAAAGAAGTACCATGTAACACAGCAATTCCACTCCTAGTTATATACCCAAGAAAACCGAAAAAGATTCTCATACAAAAACCTTGCACATGAATGCTCACAGCAGCATTCTTCGTAATAGCCGAAAAGTGGAAACAACCCAAATGTCTGTCAATTGTTGAGCGAATAAATACAATGCAGGAATATAAATGAAATAGTATTCAGCCATGAAAAGGAACAAAGCATTGACACATGCTACATGGATGAACCTTGAAAACATTATGCTAAAAAGCCAGATTCAAAAGGTCACGTTGTATATCATTCTATTTATATGAAATGTTGAAACAGGCAAATCACAGAGACAGAAAGTAGATTAGTGGTTGTCAGAGGACAAAGGAAGGGGAGACTAGGAAGAGACTGCTACCAGGTATGTGGTTTCTTTGGGGAACGATGGAAATGTTCTAGAATGAGCGAGTGGTGATGATTGTACAATATTGTGAATATACTAAAATCCACTAAATTCTACACTTTGAAATGATGTATTTTATGTCATATGAATTTAAAATATTTTAAGGGGATAAAACCCTTTTTATCTGGACAAAATCACTTCTTTATTTAAAAATAAGCTTAAATGCAACCCCAATAACTGAAAATGTGAAAGGTGGACTTTAAAGCTCTATATATGGCAACAGGTAGCATCTTGTAAGTACCCTATTTGTGTATTTTATAAAATTTCACCTGATATTCATTTCTCTAAAGCAGGGTTTAGCTACCTTTCTCTGTAATAGGCCAGTTAGAAAATGGGTTAGGCTTTGCTAGTCATATAGTCTCTGCCACAACTCAACTCTGTGGTTGTCATGAACAGCCATAGACATGTCAGTGGTGTGGGGGTGTTCAATACGTTATTTACACACACCAGACACTAGCTGGATTTGACCTGCAGGCCACAGATATCTGACCCCTGCTCTAAAATAAGGAGCATCTCCATAAAAGGGATCAACTCTGCTTCCAAATGGCATGCTTCCCTGGGAAAATGGGGAAATGAATACATGTTATCAGCTGTTCTGTTTTCAAGCAACTCCTCTTTTAAAAAGCTTTTAAAGTACTACGCATCAAACTGGCTTATCAATTGACTGTAAGTTACTAACTCTGCAGAGGTAAAACACCTGAAACATCACACCTGACAACTATCACTGAATCATACCAATTTCCAGTTTGACCTTCACACTGGCTTCAATAAATAACGATTCTAAAAATCTGATGAGTTTTTCTAACCCTATGTAACATACATACTTGTTGATCTGAGCCAAGAACATTCCCTTCAGTGCATAAAATTCAGCTGTCATCTCTTTTGTGAAGTATTTTAAGTTTGTAGATTCTATAACTTCAAGGCCCTGTTTTAAAAAAAGTGTAGAAAAAAATTATTGAAATTTCTAGACAATAATATAACTTCATTAAAATATTAACCTAGGCAGTAAGTCCTAAAGGTCACTGACAAATGTGCTATAAAATAACAACAAATTTGCCTACCATGAATATCTGTTGACAAGTGACATTCAAACTGAATCACTAAATGCTAAATTCAGTTCTAGGCACTTTCAGGGTATTATTTTCTCCAAGTTTTATATGTCTAAAGTTTCACTGATTTTATTCATATTCCTCTGAACATGGCGAAAATCTACCTCACAACACTCTCGTACTTCTGCAGTTTTTAATTTTTTCCTTAAATACATTAACCAAGTACATGGTAGAACAGAGACAATAAAATGTAATTCAAATATTCAAGTGGCACCCTGGTCAATGTGACTCAGTCGGTTGGAGCGTCGTCCGTAAACCGAAAGGCAGTGGGTTCAATCCCCAGTCAGGGCACATACCCGGGTTGCGGATGCTGGTTCAATCCCCAGTTGGGGCGCATGCGTGAAGCAACAGATGGATGTTTCACTCTCATATCAATGTTCCTCCCCACCCCCGTCCCCTTCCTCTGGCTCTAAGATCTATAAAAGCATGTCCCCAGGTGAGGACTGAAATCTATACACACACACACACACACACTCTCTCTCTCTCTCTCTCTCTCTCTCTCAAGTGGCTTCCTTTCCCTTTCCTGTTTAGGAAGGACTGTTTCCCCCTACTATGGCTGTATTTGTACAAAGTTCTAACCCTCCTTCCCTGTTATCTGAACCAGGAGTTTCCATGGGGACACTCCCATCCTTCTTTACTGGACCTGCTGGGCACAGGGACAGGCACCAGGCCCTGCTGGCACTCTACCTGCATACACTCGTTTTTCCCCATGACTCCTGCCAGTTGGAGATAGCACTTGACTTGCTGTCGAATCTTCTGGAAGCAATCCACAATAGGAACAGTTGGAATAGTATGAATACGGCTTAATATATCCAGAGCTACATTGACCAGTCCTTGTTTTCGGGCAATTTTTCCATACTGGATGATTGCTGAAGCTGACGCATGAACCCCAAGCATAGCATTATTGGAACTTGGATCATGCTGAGAACTATTTTCATACGCAGTTACAATAGCTAGAGAACAAAGAAATGAATTATTAGTCCATGCCAAATATTTTCAAAGTTCCCCAAAATAAGGCTTAAATCAAAAATGAAAACAAACACACATGGCTTATGAAGATGGGGAACTCCGTAATAAACTCATTACTTTTCCTCATATTTTATATCAAAAGGGAGATATAAAAAGCGCTAACTGTTGAATTGAGTGTGACCATCTTGGCTAACTCAATCACAAAGGCTGCCCTAAACAAGCAGATGCCTGGCAGGTTTAGGGTATGAGCAGAGGAGACCAGAGAACTGGAGAAGGCTACACATACACGGCCACCTGAGAGCAGCTTGGGGGAGATGGGGGGCCAAAACAAACAGCCACAACCCAGAGCTCCAATCACACTGGCCTGAGCCCCTGATACAACAAGCAGCACTTCTGTTTTAACTGGAAAAAATTTAACAGGTAGGAAAACTCCTTCCCATCCTTTGCCACCTTCATCTTTGTCTCACCATACCCCACCACTACCTCCCACACCCACCCCAAATCAGAAAACCTGATAAAAGAAATAAAACAAAGCAAAACCAAGACATGAAACCAGAACAGTGGGATGTCTGGAAAATTACATGATGAATGCATGCCGGACCAGGTAGGTTTACCCTGGTAATGATGCTGCCGCCACATGAAGACGCTGCTCCAGTGGGACAAGTCGTCAGAGACAATGGGCAGCCTGTTCCTCCAGGTCTTCACCACGGTCTTCATGTCATGCAGGCTGTTGTTCCTTCCCAGGTTGGTCGGCTGTAAACCTGCATTTATTTGTGCAGCTTCCTGAAGTTCAATGATTTGCTGGGCGGCCTGAATGGGACCAACATAAGAGATTCCACAGTAAGCATTATATCAAAGATCACACGAGAAAATAAACCAGAGTCAATCAGGAATCTGCTTTGCTGTAAAGATCTCACAATTCCATCATGAAAGAAAGCACTCTCACTTCACAGATACCTTAGCTTTCACATTAACCCACTCTTCACCTCCAGCACGGCTCTCCTAATCCCCCCAATCTTAAAACCTCAGCTCTGTGGCCTGTGAGATAGGAGATGGGAGAGGAATGGTGTAGATGACAAAACTTGCTAAGGGGTAGCCCCCAAAACGATTCTCTCTTTTCCAACAAGAGTTGGCTCTTTCTCTACCAATGTCTAAGAAGAGAGAAAATTTAAAACCCCACAGCCATATTAAGAATTTCAAAACATGGTTCTGATGATCTCTTTAGGCTGGTATAGATATTTTCAACCACATCCCTTGTGAGTCTGTATAGTTTACTACTCAGATGCATTGCTGGCTCCAAACTTCTGGTGCCATCTTCTTACCAGGAGGGCCCTGGGCTAAATTTTGATCCTATCCAAATTCTACCCATTAAGTTCTACCTTCCCCTCCCACAGGGATTTCTCCTACCTGCATGGCAGTGAATCATAGTCTCCCTATAATCACTTAAAATTTTGTTTCTTATGGATATGTCATCTCCCTCCACTTGGATCCTCCTTTGAGGTAGAATCTATGTTTTAAATTTTTCTGAATCTTCCCAAACATAGCACCTAGGTCAGTACTCAGTATCTCATTGTGTGGTCTTGATTTTAAAAACTGCCTACAGAGCCGTGGCCAGTGTGGCTTAGTTGGTTGGGAGTCATCCCATGCACCAAAAGATTGTTGGTTCCATTCCCAGTCAGGGCACATGCCTGGGTTTTGAGTTCAGTCCCCGGTAGGGGGCATGCAGAAAGCAGGCGATCGATGTTTCTCTCTCCCCCCTCCCCTTCCTCTCTCTCTAAAGGTCAATAAAAAGTTTTTTGTTTTTTTTTAATTGCCTACAAGAATTATCTATATTGCAGGTCTAGTTCATTCCATGTAGATTTCTAAAATCTTTATCTAATCCTCCCTCCCACCAAAAGCATACTGAAAATAGAACAATGGGATATTTGTTTTATAATAGCTTTACTGAGATATAACTGAAACAACAAAATTACCTCTTAAAGTGTACAATTCAGTAGTTCTTAGTATATTCCTAGAGTTATACAGCCATTACTACTAATTATAGAACCTTTACATCATTTCCAAAAGAAGCCTTATACCCATTGGTAGCCACCCTCCACTCTTCTTCTCCCAGAAGGTGACAACCACTAATCTGCTTTCTGTCTCTATGGATCTGTCTATTCCAGACATTTTATATAAATGGAATCATACAATATGTGACCTTGTGTCTGGCTTCTTCACTCAGCATATATTCAAGGTTTACCTAAACTGCAATATGTTATCAGTATTTCATTTCCTTTTTATTGCTGAATAAGGCTCCTTTCATGGATATACCACATTTTATTCATTTATCAGTTTATGGTAATTTGGGCTGTTTCCACATTTGGGCTATTATGAATATTTACTACTCTGAATAAGTTTTTGTGTGGCCATATGTTTTAACTTCTCTTAGAGTTATACCTAGGAGTGAAACTGCTAAAATCATATGGTAATTCCATACTTAATATTTTGAGGAATTATCAGACTCTTTCCAAAGAGGCAGAACTATTTTACATTCCCACCAGCAATGTATGAGGGTTCCATTCCCTCTACCTCCCCACCAACACTTGTTATTGTCTTTTTTATTCTAGCTATGCTAGTGGGTGTGAAGGGGTATCTCATTGTGGTTTTGATTTGCATTTCCCTAATGACTAGTGATGTAGAGCATCTTTTCACGTGCTTATAGGTCATTCATATATCTTCTTTAGAGAAATGTTTATTCAAATCTTTGCCCATTTTTAAATTGGGTTGTCTTCTTTGTTGACTTACAAAAGTTCCTTATCCATTCTGGATAAAAGTACTTTATCAGATTTGCAAATATGTTCTCCCATTCTGTAGGCTTTTTGCTTTCTTGATGTTGTTCTTTGAAATACAAAAGTTAAATTTATTCCTCAGTATTTTAATCTTTTTTATCCTATTGTAAATGAATGGGTTCCTTAATTTCACCAAATTTGGGCAGTTTTCAGCCTTTATTTCTTCAAATATTCCTTCTGCCCCCTTTTCTCACCCTACTCCTTCAGGGACTCCCATTATGAGTATGTGGGTATGCCTGATGGTACGCCTGTCTCTCACAGGTCTCTGAGGCTCTGTTTATTGTTCTTCATTATTTTTCTTTTTATTCCTCAGGCTGGACAATATCAATTAATGTATCTTCAAGTACACTGACTTTTTCTTGTACCTGATAAAATCTGCTATTGAGCTTCTCTAGTGAATTTTTATTTCATTATACTTCTACTAAACTCTATTCATCGATATCCTCTCCTTGATGAGACATCATTCTCGTATTTTCCTTTTATTTTTTACATATGGTTTCCTTTAGTTTTTTTATCACGTTTACCATAGCTGATTTAAAGTTTATACGTCCAACAACTGGGCTTCCCTCAGGGACAGTTCCCATTGACTACTTTTTCCCTCCTTTATATGAACCATTATTTTCCTATTTATTTTCATGTCTCGTAATTATTTGTTGAAAACTGAACATTTCGAATATTATAATGTGGTAACTCTGGATATGAGATCCCTCCTCTCTACGGGTTTGTAAAGGGTTTTTCTTTTTTTTGGTTGTTGCTATTTGTTTAGTGACTTTCTTGGACTAATTCTATAAAGTCTATATTATTTGTATAATGCAACCACTCAAGTCTCTGCTCAGTTAGCTTATGGTCAGCTAATGATTAGACAGAAATTTACTTAAAGACCTGAAACAATAAGACTCCCAGCAGAAGCCTCTACAGAGGGGCTGTGTGTGCCTGTTGTGTCATGCCTTCCACACTCCACCAGGCATTTTTCAATTCTACCATAGCCTTCACTCCCTGATTGTACAGTGCCTCAAGGTCAGCCAGTGGTGAAAGTTAGGGTCTTCTCAATTTTCCTGAGCATGTGCACAAAATCTATGAGCCCCTCTAGATTTCCAGAAATACATTAGAGCTTTTCAAAATCCTCTATGGAGGATTAGGGAATCCTTTATTTCCTAATCTTCCCTGTACTTAGCCAGTTTCTTCTGTGCCCCAGCTGGTATTGCTCCATCAGGCAGCTGTGATGTTAAACAATTGCCATTGATTGTTTTTGACAGAAGCCTCCACATATGCCTTTCCTTACTGAGTGGGCTCTGAGTCCGGTCAAACAGAGACAAACCCTGTGAACAGAGTTTTTCAAGGGAACTGCAATGCTGGTCAAATAGTGCCAGTTCTCTGGGGCCAAGTGTTTCTTTGTGGGGTTTTGTTTTTTTTGGGTTTTTTGTGTCTCTAAATCTGTTCTACCTTCCATTGGTGGCTACTAGGCTACTGGTTTTCACAGCTCCTATGGTTGGAAGTATTGGTTTTCAATACTATGGTGGAAATGGGGAAAGAAAGAAAGGTAATATGACTATTAAATGCTACAAAGTTTGCTATTCTTACTAAAATACAGTTGTCTTTCTTAAATGCTCTTTGGATTGTTGCAAGTCTGTGTTTAATTTCCATAATCCTGAAAACTGCTTTTGACAATATTCCCCACTCTAGTTGTTGCTTCCATGAAAAGGAGCTTCAGAAACCCTTATTCTGTTATTCTGGATGATCTGCCTGAACAATATATTAAAGTCATTCTGTCTAAAACAAGACTCAGGCTCTGTGTTTCTTCTACATTAGTGGTTAACCCAGGAATCCAGTATTGGTGTTTTCGGTATGCCAAAGAGATAGACTGATCATCTAAATTCTCTATTAAAACCTGGGGTCTAAAATCAGTAAGATGGGAATGTTACTGTACAGAAGTACCAAGACTTTTCCCTTCACTAATTTTCTTTTTTGGTGGTAGTTAGAGGAGGAAGGGAAAGAGGCACTAGTCGTAGTTCTAAATATGTATTTTTTAATTTAATATAATAAATATTTTTAAAATTAGGCATTAACATTTATTAAGTTTGGACAAAAGGTACTTATTTGATTTTTTAAAAATAAGCACTTCTTGCCCTGGCCAGTGTGGCTCAATTGGTTGGAGCATTGTCCCACGCACCAGAAGGTCATGGGTTCGATTCCCAGTCAGGGCACATACCTAGGTTGCAGGTTTGATCCCCCGTCAAGGTGTGTAAGGGAGACAACTGATCAATGTATCTCTCACATCAATGTTTCTCTCTCTCTCTCTCCTTCCTCCCTCTCTAAAAAATTAAAAATAAGCACTTCTCTAACTCAGTCTCTCCACCTTCCTTATCTCAAATTCTATATAAATATGACCCTAAACATAAGAACAATTATTAAAATGATCAAATAGAAATGTTAAATGGTTTCCTAAAACCATTTTTATGGACACTGTCTGTGTTTTCTGTAAGATTTCTCAGCTATGTTGGTTGACAGTGCTATTGGAGATAGAAATCATCTTTTACAGTCAGATTTATAACCAAGATAACCAACAACTATTTATCAAGCATCAACCATGAGGGAAGTAGTCAAGAGAAATAAAACTACCTTTAATTTCACCTCCGAAATACTTGAATCAGGATTATCTGAAATATTATATTTTAACTCCATGCTTTAAATATATAATTCACAATAATTTCTACTTAATTATTAACAATTGTGTTATTCATAATACTTAGTCATTCACAATATACCTTGAAATAAAGCAAAAGAATAGATACAAAAAGAAAAATATCAAAACAAAACAAGTAATTAGCTGTTTCAAAGAACTTCTAGTTCACTTTGCAGAAGACAGGAAAATCTAAGTATATTACAAAGCAACTACACTATGATAAAAATCAACATACCAATTTAGTCTCAAAACTACTCTTTCAAAAGAAAAAAAAGTATAACCATTCTGCATTATAGTTATAACATCAACCGACAGTTTTCCTCAATAACACTGGTAGCTGCTCAGCCCCGTGTGTGTGTGTGTGTGTGTGTGTGTGTGTGTGTGTGGTGGTGTGCACATGCGTACAGGAGCTGGGAAGAGTCGGAAAACATGTGTTCTATGGACAGAAAAAGCAATTGAAGGGTGGTTCATGTGGCTAGAACAAACTGTCAGAAACAGTAACGATGACACACAAAGGAAGAAGCCAAGGCATAGTCTATTTAATCAGCAGTCTTAAGAGTTTCAGAGGACACCCTGGCCAGGTGGCTCAGCTGGTTGGAGCATCATCCCGCATACCAAAAGGTTGCGGGTTTGATTCCCGGTCAGGGCACAAACCCAGGTTGCGGGTTCAATCTCTGGTCAGAGCACGTATGTGAGGCAACTGACCGATGTTTCTCTCTCCCTAAAATCAAACAAAAAAAGCATATTTTCAGGTGAGGATAAACGAAGTTTCAGAGGATGACAGATTTTTAGAACTGATGGTGGTATAGTGAGCACTGAAGAAAATCCATGAAGCAAAAATGCACATCATCAAAATCACTCCTGAGGATGTATTCTGTCACTTAAATCCGCTGGAAGCTCCAAAAATGAGAAGCAACATTTCAGTCCTTTACATTTTCACTCTGGCCTTCCTTCCACTGAGCATGAGTTTAAATGGGAAAGGACAAGTAGAAGGAGTTTCCTCTTTGCCATCCAGCTCAGTTCACAGATCTACGCCTGGAGAAGATGTTCTCTGCTATGATAGGCCCATAAGACTGCTCATATTAATATATCATACCCACCTGGAGAAGAGGGGTATGCACATGGGACACCACATGGGGCAACCGCCGCCACTCACGGATGGCCAAGCTGCTGGCCATTTCTACCAGGCGTTCGATGAAGCTGAGCTGTTGCTCCTCAGGGTGGCAGATAGCCAGGTATCCACGGTACATGTTGACCTTCCAAGCCATCTCCTTGGGACAACTTACTTCTACCTGGTAGTAAAAGAACATTATATAGGAAACTATGGGTATTTTTCCTCTCAATTGAAAGAATCTAAAAGGAAAGTCAATGTATTTTTGTAGTCAATTCTGCAAAGCAATAGGCAGAAGTTAAGCTATAAATAGACATTTATTTCCTTTAGAAAAGTCATACGTTTCGGCTGCTTTATCTAGATTCCTTCCTTTTCTGAATACCAGTCAGTGGCTAATCTCTCTAGCTATGAAAGAATGTCACTGGCTCCTTGCTTTAAGGTATCAGTAGTTCCAAAACAGGGCAAACCGATCACCACTGCTATGATAGACCAGATTAACAACCATCACCTGGCTACAAAGTGAGCCAGTGAAGTTTTAAAGTATTAAACATATATTCATCTCCACTCTGATAAATATCAGTAAGATTATGAATTGTTTCTAATTCAATTGTTATTCTGGGCAATTAATCTAACTTGTTCCACATTATACAAGGAAGCAGAAGGCAGTGATTCAGGTTTATAAGAGCATGCTTAAACATCCATAAATGTTACCATGATTTAAAAGCCGCACTTCACTATCTATCATAACATTTTCCCTATATTTCTTATACCTTGGTTATCAGTTCTACTATGAATATAGACTGAGCATGGAGCCATCACATTTCCCCTCTTTAATCCAAACCCTTGCTCCCACATACACAGCTACAGCTGGGTAAAGGATCCTCATGTGTTCCTGAAATCCCACGTGTTTGCTCACCACCTTCTAGAGAAAGCATGAGAATTCACCACATATTACCAATCTCTTACAGAGCATTTAAATGATAAAAAATTAAAGTCTTTTCAAAAATAATCTCTGTATAAGAAGATGAAAGAATATCTGTGCTGAAGGAATTGCATAGGGCTTGCTGTAAACAATATCAATAAACATTCATTCTGAAGCACCTTTGGAAAGTAACAAAAATTATACACATTTTAGTGCATTAATGCTATCTGCCCAAGTGATGTAAGTAATAATAATGCCATCTTGCATTTTATACCTTGGCCTGTTTTGACTTCTTACTCTTTCGAAAACCATTCACATTCTTGCCCTGGCCAGTGTGGCTCAGGGGCTGGAGCCTCAGCCCACACGCCGAAGGTTCGAGGGTTTGATTCCTGGTGAAGGGCACATACCTGAGTTGCAGGTTTAATACCCAGCCCAGGTTGGGGCCCATGAGAGAGGGAACCAATTGATGTGAGATACATTGATGTTTCTCTCTCTCCCTCTCTCCCTCTCTCTCCCCCTTCCATCCTCTCTAAAAATCAATGGAAAAAATATCCTCAGGTGAGGATTAACAAAACAGAACAAAAATTCACATTCTCGGTTCCTCTTAGACCTCAATAACCCAATGATGAAGTTCAGTAACGCAAACTTGTGAACATATCTGCTTCCAACATGATCCTCTAAAATTACACCAATCTCCTATTTTCTGGACTTAAACACTATTTAACACTGGCCTTTTTTTCTTTTTTCATCAATTATAACACCTATCCTCTGTAACATTAACAGCAAAGGCATCTCTTTTAATTTTTCCCCACTGGAAAAAATTACCCCATCTATTAAATCACACCAAGAAATGGACTGCTGCAAGCAGCCCTATAACCATAATTCACAGGAATAAACAATTTGTTTTTCCCTTCAAATACGAGCAAATAAATAACTTAGTCCGATAAAGACAGCTTGAAATTCATTTACTAACAATTACTCAGAATGTTTGTATACTTTGAGCTTTTTTCTAATAAATGCCTTACAGCCTGTCAGTGTGGCTCAGCGGTTGAGCATCAACCTAGGATCCAGGAGATCAAGGTTCGATTCCCAGTCAGGGCACATGCCGGGGTTGCAGCCTCAATGCCCAGTAGGGGGCATGCAGGAGGCAGCCAATCAATGACTCTCTAATCATTAATGTCTCTCTCTCTCTCTCAAATCAATAAAGATTTTTTTTTAATGCCCTACAATTTTTGGATAATAATAAAGAGGTTGTGAAGAAGGAATTCATTTGCAGACCTATCAACAGTATGATACTGCACATATCCTGGTAACTGAAACCTTGGAAAGGAGATTTTTAAAAGTTAAGAATTATAATCAACTGTAAATGCATTCTGTCAGCAAAATATATGTATAATGTGTTGCGGGGTCAGGTGGTGCACAGGGCTGTTGTCCAGCGCGTTTGTTACTCGACAGAAACTTCCCAGCAGAAGAAAAGGAACGGTACCTGTGTCCCACTCTTCCATCATGCACCAGCCCCTCTGGGTGCAGTTTAATTTTTTTGTATGTGGAGCTCAACCAAATTAATGAATCAATTTCACTTACACTATACCACCATCACTTCCATAGTACAAAACACGTTGATACCAGTTCATTCACCAAACTTTTACTGACAACTCCTCACCTGCCAAGCGCTGGGATTGTTTGAGTCACCTATGCTGGACTCACGTCTAGCAGTACTTCTGCCAATCAAATCCACCAGTAACACTGACTCTGTTCTTCCAAATTTCTCCAGGGACTATTCGTTTGCTCATAGAATCCAAGGTCTCCATACCTGACACTTATTATTGTAACTGAATGATTAACTAACAATTTATAATTTAACTCAAATTCAGGAAAGGTGCTAGAGATAACCAGAAATAATTCTTGCTTCCCAAGATCTATTTTGATCTCCCAAAATTCCCAGGTTGTTCTAAGTGAAATCTCCAGAGAGATTCATGGCTTTGACAAAAGGAACCCACGAAGCTGTGGGAACATAACCCAAGAGTGGATGAGTCAGCAGGGTGGTGGGAGGGAGGTCTCACCTGCACCAATGCCTCCTTCATGGCGGTCCAGTTAGACACCCGCCAAGCACACTCCAGGACGAGGTAAGGGTTTATATGACCTTTGGACTGGCCGTACTCTGTCAAGGCTTCCCATTGGTTCAATTCCTTAGAGCACCTAGAACACCAGGGAGTTGAGAAGTTCAGTTACCAACACACCAACAGATTGAGAAAGCACAGGGGACACTCATTTATTTTCACTCCACAGAAAAAAACTTTCTTCCCCCTAGAGAAGGGTGGGCTCCTGTGGGATCCCAGGCTTGGTCTATTGCAAGTTCCACCTGCCCTCTGGAAGGAACTGCTCCCTGGAACATCAAGAATCACCTACTGCACAGCAGAGCTCAAAGCCCCAGAGCAGTGGAGAGGCAGGAATCACTGTTCCTCCAACAGACACTTTTAATTACTCAAGCCTTTAAAACTGTCAGTAGAGTTTTGTTTGTTCTTTTCTCTATGGAGTCACGAAGAAAGTAGCAAAGTTCCCTTTAAAAACATTCATGCCCAGCCGGGCATGGCTCAGCAGTTGAGCACTGACCTAGGATCCAGGAGATCATGGTTCGATTCCTGGTCAGGGCACATGCCCGGGTTGCGGGCTCAATCCCCAGTCGGGAGTGTGCAGAAAGCAGCCGATCAATGACTCTCTCATCACTGATGTTTCTCTCTCTCTCTCTCTCCCCTTCTCCCTTCCTCTCTCTGAAATCAACAGACATATTAAAAATAATAATAAAATAAAAATACTCATTATGAGAACATTTCAGAGATTTGTCATGGGTTCCCTTAACTAACTCTTAGCTGACAGGAATACATCCCTATTGGGCTTACCGAATCCAGTGGTCCTCCCAAAGCTGGTATTCTGGGAAAATAGCAGGGGATGCATTACTCCTCTCATGTTCTTTTTTGGCTTTATCCATTGCCTTCTCATAGGACTCTTGTGCCTAAAAAAGTTAATAATGCTTTCAAACTACTATTTACCTAGCAAACTTTCCACAGCTGTTGCTCAGTGATTTAGGGCAAGTTGGATCATAAACCCAGGAGTGCCTCACTCCTCTACAATCGCTTGCCCCCCCTGGAATCCCCTACTCAGAGCACAGAAGATTGGGGGGAAAAGGGAGGAGAAGTGAGGGTGCGTCGTTCCCCACACAGAATGGAGAGGGAGGCTCCCGGCCCCAGGATGAACCACTCCGTCCTTCAACAGTAAGAGCAGAGGCCACAGCCCATACCCATGCTTCCAGAGTTTCTGTGGCTCAGTATCCTAAACAGGGCTGAGAACCATACCGTGACCTTGGCCCACCCATGCTACACTGAAAGACCAAGCATGAAGACTGAAATTTAAACACAAAATGCCATCTACCTTCCACTTCCAACAGGACCAATGAGTGCACATAAAAACCATCCACATTAGCTTGTAATGGTAAAGTGTTTAGGACTAAGCATTAAAAATTTTCATGTCATGTATGTTTCTCTCAAAGGGCCTTTATGTGTAGGACAGATGCTTCAAGTAAAACAGCAAACTTCTTATATAAATGTGAACTGACCTGAGGACATTACAATATTGTAATATTATAATATATATAACCACGCATCCCAGCCATTTCCTTCAACAACGGTTACCTGCTCAAAAAATCCATGCTGCTCGTAAGCAATAGCAGTTGCTGTCTCGGAATACTTGCAACGCTTCTGCCATAAACCAGCCCACATATCTTCTTCTTGTAACAAAGAGTAAAGTTCTGCAAGGGAATCCAGGATCTCCTGAAAACACAGATCCTGGTTTCTGAGTGCTCATGACATATACTTTTTTCTTTTTTCAATAAAGCAACTTCATTGTGCTAGAATTTAAAATCACTTGGGAGATGTTTATTGAGACCATGACGTCACTACCAAGGAAGATGTAATTAACAATGAGGGGGCCTCACCTGCTGAGGTGGAGTTATGCTCTCCTGCTCATAAAATTCCGCTGTTTGCTTTGGCTTAATCTGCAGGCTCAGGCCTTTCTCAAAAGCCTGGTGCTCTAGCATTAATGTGGAACGGAACCAAAGGTTGTGTGTTTTCCCCAAGTACTTCAGAACGCAGGGTCTGATGGGGATGGGAGGGACACACTGGGACATGGCTTCCACAAAGCAATTCAGTGCGCTGGGCTGACAGTCCCGCTGCACCTGGTGACTGCCACTGCACAGGAACGGGCTAATCTCGCCGGCTAGAGCCTGAAACCAAAGATCATGTTAGCTCAGAGCTTCATTCAAAAATCCATCAAGTCTTTACTCTCTCACACAGCATCTGTGAATATTTTTAATAATTCACTCTTAGATAACAGGCAGTAGTTTCCTCATCCTTTGAAACTTAAGATTATTTTATCACAAAAATTTATCAAAAGCTAAAACTACATTTTTCAAAACAGAACTTTAAAAATATACTCACATGCTGCTGTCGGTCAGACAGAATTTTCCACAATCTGGGGAAAAGCTGGACCCAGGTCTTTTCTGCCAGCGTTGTGGAAATGTGGCACAGCTGGACAAAGGCACTGAGCAGTGCCCCAGTCTACAGAAAGAAGAAAAGTTAGCGCCACGGGGCACGGGATGGTGCTCAGCACCCTGCCATACAGCTGCCTCACACGTTCCCGCTGAGGAGGCACTTCAGGCCCACACTTGACCAGACTCCTCCACTTCCTAACTTCAAAGGTCTGAGCAAGTGTCATGTCAGAGTGAAAACACAGGTCCTGAGCACCAGAGATCAACCCATGTTGGGTTTAGCAGCCAAGCACAGACGTGGGTAAGGGACTCATCAGTGACACGCCTTCATTTTTTAACTTTAAGGGCATTTCCAAACATGCCTATGCTGAAAGTACATGAGAGGTACACAGGTGCCATCAAGCAAAGGCCACTGAAAATATAAAAGGGGAAATACGAAAAGCACACACATATGAGCAAGTTATAAAAATCAAGGACCCTGAAAGTTCAGTCTCTGCAACTGTCAGCGAACAAGAGATGGAAAAGTAGCTGGAATGAAACAGAACACCCTACAAAAGGAGCCAGAGTTGGAATCCAAGGGCCCAAAGAGCTATCAAATCCACAGATGGGTTGATTTTGTCCACAGCTTTGTTGTTTTTGAAAATCTGAATTAGCTGCCAACATTTCTTATAAACAGCCAGGTTTCTAGCCTGCTTAAAGCCCATGGGGCCCGCCTAGCTCCTAATATGAACAGAATCATCCCTGTTTCTAACACTCCTCAAAAGTAACTCAGTATATGGAGCCCTAAGTGATTCTAAGAGTCATTACCTGAAAAACAATCATATCTATAATTAACCTGAGAGTTTGTGGAAGCCAAAGATCTGGAAAGATCTCAAAATAGGTATATTTGGATTTCCCTGCTCCCAAAAGTAGACCTGATTCACCACATATTCTCATTTTCTTCTTTTTTATTGTACTTGAAAAATAATCCAGCAATGTCTCATCATATATATTTAGTAAACAATTTTACCATCCCTTTCAAGGGACAGAAATGGGGAATTAACCTCTTTTTCGTATTTTCTCCCATAAGACAATGTAATTCCTTTCACAAATCCTTGCATAAAACATCCACTTTAGAGTCTCACAGAGCTATAATAGTTTCCATTGAGAAAGGAAAGAAAGTGAAACTTGTAAAGGAAAATCTTACACTGCTGTGGAATAATCCTGATTTAGGATTCAAAATATTCAGAGGGGTAAAAACCACAACTATGCCTCCAAACCCGCACACAGACCTTCACTTCCCGGAGAGTATCAAGGAATTTGTCATGTCTGTTGGTTAGCATATGCAGCTGGTTTCCAATGTCCTTTTCAGAAAGTTCCTTGGTTTTGGGTGTGCTGGTCTGATCTCCAGGAGCTAGTTCAATATCTATCTCTACATCCTAAAAAACAAACACAAATAAGCAAAACTAAAAAGTCAATAATTAAAATCCAACCAACACAACTCTTAAAAACTTATTACATTTTTGGCAAGTAATATTTTAGTTAATTTCTGAAGTTTATAATTATTAAAAAAATCTTGAATTCTAAAATAAACAAACAGATTCTAGACCAAACCTATCTCCTTCTCTATTTATAGATGACACCATTTTGCTTTCATATTTGGATTATAGGAAGCAAAATAAAGTACCAACAGTAAAAACAATAAAGATTATTAGATGTGGCCGGGTAGCTCAATTGGTTAGAGCATCATCCCAATAAGCCAAGGTTGTGGGTTCATTCTCCGGTCAGGGCTCATACAAGAATCAGCCAGTGAATGAATGAATTAGTGGAACAACAAATCTATGTCTCTCTGTCTCCCTATCTAAAATAAATTTTCTAAAAATCTAACTGAACAAAAACAACATAAGTGTCTGTGGATGGATCAATGGATAAAGAAAATGTGTGTGAGTGTGTACATACACACATACATACAATGGAATACTGTTCAGGTATAAAAAAGAATGAAATCTTGCCATTTTTAAAAACATGAATGGCCCTTGAGGGGCACGACACTAAGTGAAATAAGTCAGAGAGCCAAACTGGTGGTTGCCAGAGGCGTAGGCAGTGAGGGAGGGGGGTGAAAATCGATGAAGGGGGTAAAAGGTACAAACTTCCAGTAAGTCCTGGGGATGTAATGCACAGCATGGCGACTACAGTAAATAATACTGTATTGTATATTTGAAAATCTCTAAAAGAGTAGTTCTTAAAAGTTCTCATCACAAGAAAAAATAATTCTGTAATTGTGTGATGATGAATATTAACTAGACTTAGTATGATCATTTCACAATACATACAAATATCAACTCTTTATGTTGTATACCTGAAAGCAATATAACGTTATATGTCCGTTATATCTCAATTTAAAAAATCTAATTGAATGTAGGTACCACATTCAGAGCTTTTAAGTAGACAGATTTTAATGCAGCACTCTTGCCCTAAAGAAATCCAACACTAATATAAAATTGGAGAAATGGGCATTCTGCTGTGAAAAGGAGGCCCCACACAATCCAGACATTACCTCCTCTTTAGACTCGCTGTTCTCTCGCTCCCGAGGCTCCTGCTTGACATGTGTGACCATGGCAAAGGCTGCTCGATCATGGCTGTCGGCCAGGTTGATGACATTGGTGATGGACGGGAGCATAGCTCCTTGGCAGCTGGTACCAATGGCAGTGCTCTTCTCACACACGGCCAAAAGAAGCTAGAGGGTTTGTGGACAGAAATAAATACCTAGCACACACACCTGGCATTTGGGGCATGTAGAACCAGTCACTATCTAGTCATCTTGACAGGCATACCCATTCTGATGGCTCCCAAGCCCACAATTTTGCTCCGCACATCTCCCCAGTTTCGACAAAAAGTCTGAACCTCTCTACACGTCCCTCACTCAGGAACCTCTGACTATGTCTAAGAGAAAGCTCAGCTCAGCATCTTTCTCCCCTACCAGACGGGCATCTTCTCCTGTTCTCTCTGCAGCATCTCCCAGACAGGTAAGACAGGTTCCTTTGCTTCGTCCACCAAATTTTTTCTTCTGTCTCATCACTCATGCCACATCACCAAGTCCTGCCAATTTTACCTCCTGAATACTTAGGCAGCTGTCACCGCCTGGACAGAACTCCCTAACTCATCCTGACATACTCTTCTCAAACCCATCTTCTTCCACACAGCTGACCCTCGACCGGCTTTCACAGGCCTCGGGGAACAGTGCAAGCTCCTTATAGCGTGGATCACAAGATCTCCCGTAATGTAACGCTCCCCACCTGCACGTAGCACTTCCAAGACTACGCCTTACACCCCAATATGCCGCCACACCTGGCCTCTGCTCATGCTGCCCTCCAGTCATTCTTGCATTCTTTTGGCAAATATTTACTGAGCCCCCACAAGGTGCTGTGAGGCCCTGGAGATTCATTTGTCAACTTCACAGAGCTGCCATCCCCTACCATCGTGAAGATGAAGTGTCAGCGGGAAGGACAAGGCCAACATCAACACACAAAGAGACACATACTCATGACAGCAGCCACAGAACAACAGACTGACAGAGAAGAGGGTGCCTGCCTCAGCTTGGGGTGTCAAAAATGTGGCATGTCTGGGAACACAGAAGGCCAGCAAAGCGGGAAACTAGTGAGTGAAGAGACAACAGCACAGGCTGGAGAGAGTGGCACAGGTCTAGCCACTCAGGGGCCAGCAAGACTGTATCCTGCAAGCTGGGTTTTGTGCCAGGTACAGTGGCAAACAGCGACATGAACAGCTTTGTTCGTTAAGAACAATTCTGTAATAAAAAAACTGTAGTGGGTAGGAGGGAAGGTGGGTGAGCGCTAAGACACTGTTCCCGTCACCCTTATGAGCCATGATGGTGGTGATAAGCAGGAGGTAGAAGGTGGAAGAGGGAGAAGTGAGTGATCCTAAACTGGTAACCCCTGGTGATAGACAAGATACACAGGATGGAGGAGGGAAGGGTAGAGGATTCCTGGCTTGTGCTCTATAGCCTACCTTGTCCTCTATCAATCCCTGTGTATCTGCACAGGCAATGTCTTCCATCTCTGTATCAACAGTACCTGACCAGGGCCTGCCACCTAATAATAGCCATCATAGGTCTCTTGAATGAATGAATGAATGAATGAATGAATGAATGAATGAATGAATCAAGGAACTTTGCCCACTCCACTGCCATTCAGCATTACGAAAATGCATATTCAGTGCAAACTGAAATATGTCAGTTAACAAGTTCTCACTGAAACCCAATGCCATAATTCCATTCTTTACCCTCAAAGAGAATTTCACAACCTTCCGTCTCATCTAAAAAAAAGTAATTTGGTGCCCAGCCAGCGTGACTCAGTAGTTGAGCATCAACCTATGAACCAGGAGGTCACAGTTCAATTCCTGGTCAGGGCACATGCCCAAGTAGCAGGCTTGATCCCACAGGAGGTAGTCAATCGATGTTTCGCTCTCACATCAATGTTTCTCTCACCCTCTCCCCTCCTCTCTCTCTAAAAATCAACTTAAAAATCTTGAAAAACAAACAAAAGAAATATTCGAAAGCCTCTGACTTAGCATCCACAGAAATGGTCTGTTCACACAGGCCTTTATCCCCAGCACCCTGACTCCCCACACTGAGGGATCAGAGCCTAGAGGCCCCGTCTTCCTGCTTTAAGAATTATGAGAGCTGACAGTTACAGCACATTCAATCTTCTAGGGCATATAGACAGAATTTACAATTTTTATATTTGAGGGAAAATCAATCTTTAGCTACAAACTAAGGAATATTATTCAACTTTCTAATTAAAGCACTTAAAATCACCCCAAAAAAGCTTTAGATAACACTTGGCTTTAAGTCTTTTTTTTTCTTCCTACTACAAATTAAAAGTAGTTGAATGGGGAGATTTCTATTCATCTTGGTGTATGTGAATACCTCCTGGCTTCAGTGCCCCGGCCACAGAGAGTGAGCAGAGCTCGTCCTACCTCAATGCACTGCTTAATCCAAAAGTGGTTCCCCATGGCTTCCCAATTCTGGGAGCAGGTCACATAAAGCAGACGCTCATAAACCCGACGTTTCATAGAATTGTCAAAGACTTCGAAAAATTTTGCCCTGATGAGTGGCTGGGCACAACGCAGCCCAGAGAGAAAGGCAGGCTCGAGTTTTGCAGTCAGCTCACTGCCAGACAGTGCCTCATCCCTGTAACCGAAGGAATAACAGCAAGATGAAAGAGCTATACCCGAAGGTGAACCCCTCAAGCCATAAGCAAACAGGGGGGTACCGACTTCCCGAAATGCCTTTATGAAAACCAAGAGTACGCTACAAACCATTGCTGGCTGATGCAGCATTTGTGCAAAATGTTCAGTAGTGATGCCAAAACATGTTACATGATTTAGAATTTAAATGAGTATGTAAAACTTGGGTATAACAAAAAAATCAAAAAGTCATGTAATGTTGGTTGGTCAGAGAGCACACTATAGATTGATACATAAAATACTTGATAACTGCAATAATTACCTGTAGACATAGTTAACAAGGTCTAAGAACTGTGCATTTAATTCAAGGTCTTCTGGAAAACGCTTTTCTATGTAGGTCATCATTTTCACAAGCAAGATGGACTTCTCCCGGAGTGTAGGTGTCTGTATGAATTTTTTAAAACAAAAGGTCAATTACTTCTATCTGAGAGAAGACATGTCCAAAATACTTCAGCCATCTGCTCTACTACTTTTTAAGCTCCTACAATTTTGTCAAGTAAAACAAGATGGTCGTTTCTAAACAAATAAATAAAACATCAAAGATGGCCCTGGTTATCTTTGGATGCTTAAAATCAAGACGGATGCCAATATAATTTCCTTAGGAATTACAGCTCACTTTGGAGAGAAAGCAATTAAATTATAAAACAAATCACAAGTTTGCAAGCATCTTATTAAATAATAGTCCCTCATTATTTTTTTCTTGGCTTACCTTCACCACCATAAAAGACTAACAAGTAAGGTCCATTTAACATTTTAACAAGTAAAACCACATTAAGATGAGTGACCAATTATCTCAAGTTTCTATTTAAAATCTGTTAAGCACAGTAAGAAAAACCCATCTTTAAAAAAAGATACTGTCACTGCAAATAGAGAAAAGTTGTGCTTGATGGGACCTTCCAGAAGAAAAGCTTAGGAAGCAAGGCCTGAATTTTCTTTTACATACAAAGGTAACCTGGCCAACTTGCAGCCCCTCTTCCCAGCTCACCTGATTGGCTGCCATTGGGGAATTATTTTTAACCCATTCTTCCACAATTTTCACCACAGCCCGGAGGATTTTGGCATCGGGGGATTTTTCAATGAGGGAGGTCAGGATGGCCTGAATAAAGTTCTTCCTCATCTCCATGCTCATCACAGCCAGGCGTGTTTTCACCAGCTCCAGACTCAGCATCACCAGCTCACTAGTTCCTGCTCGTGGGGAGAAAGAACACAGCTCAACAACTTCTACAAGGTACATCAACAGAAACCACTTTGCACTACATAGCATGTTGATTCTGCCCATTTTCCCCTCAAATATTTTCTCCAGCCTCCTCAGTTTCTTGCTATTACACCACCTTGCAATGGTGGCCCTTGTAAGGGGCTCCCCACAAGGAAGAGATGATGAAGTTGTTGGGACCAAGGCAGGCAACCCTGGGGTACAGTCAAGTCCCGAAGTCACGTCAATGGTACTTGTGTTCCAAGGTGCACTGAGCAGCTGTGCCGACCACAGCCCACTCCCCTCCCAACAAACATATCACCCAGATTCCTGGAGTCCACTCCTCAGGTCTGGAACTTGAGACTTAATTCGTCAGACATAACAACTCTGGGCAATCTCTGTTCTACAGCAAAACTGTTAGATAACACTCATTTAGTGCTGCAAGTTCCACACAAATGACCAATCATTTAAATGTTTCTTCCCTCTCACATTCACAAATTTTAAAGCAGTTCATTTTCAAAAGGAGTCTCATTTTGGTTTTAAATGAACCACTTACAAACTCTTTGTTAAAAGCAACTGATAATGAATTTCACATGAACAGCAGGCATTAGTGTTTACTTTAGAATTCAGTCACAAAGCCAGCACTGTTTAGTCTTGAGGGAAAAACTGGGAACAAGTCAAGTTTGTCACCTGAGGTTGCTTCTGTGCTGCCCGAGGCTGCCTGTGGATTGAGGTGCTCTCGGACCATCTTCTGCAGGGAACGCATGAAGACTGAGATCAGCCTGTCTATGTAGCTCGGGTTGTTGCTGCAGGCAGACTTGAGGATCATAAGGGTCCCTAAAAGGTAGAAATTGCCAGTTTTCTTTTTAGAAAAGTTTTAGAAAAGTGAGTAATTGACAAAAATGTGCTAATTAAAACATTTTAAAATGTGCTGTTTCCAACAAAGGTGTGAATTAATCCCAAATGTCAACATTGTAAGCCTTTATATGGCAAAGACTACATTTTGAAATATTATATGTTCACTCTCAATTCTTAATTCATAAGCAAAATCTTCAGGCATAAAAACTGATTTCTGTGCTTCAGTAGAAACAGTCTCACCTTCAGTTCTGCATTTATCTTTAGGGTATTTAGGGTATTTATGGCAAACCACCCTAAGCAAAATGTTTTGTCCCATATATGTTTGGGGGGGTGCTTCCTTTTTACCTAGGCTATCTGGGCATGACAAATGTTTTAGATTCAATTTGCACCTCGTTCTGAAAAACTGCCTAACACCAGAACACAAACACTGAGTATGTGAAAAAAACTGGCATTTTTATAAACATCCTGACCCTGATCTACACATTAAATTTAATTTTGTGTTCATGGTTCACATCATAGAAAAATAAAAGGGTACGTATTTTCCATTTACAGGTGCAATCATCCCAGATTTAGACAATTTTAGGTCTGATTCATTAAAAAGCTGGCCCTCAATACAGTAGTAAACATGTGACCAATCTGATTCTTCGACAAGTAACCCATGACGCTGGCGGGTGAGGACAATGACTACGGGGAACACTCCTGGCTGCCATGCTCACCTCTACTGAGCAGCCATCAGTAATGGAGCCCTGGATCTAGCAGTGTGGCCAACTGGACAGACCCACTTGCCCCAAGGCTGCCCCTGGCCTGCTGTTACCCCCACAAAGGAGGGAGGCAGGGCCAAAGGTGGTGAGCCCTCTCAAAGAGAGTCCTTTGGAGAATTAACAAGATGTTCAAGCTACACTGAGATAGAAGCAAGGTTGCAAAGCAGGATCTGCTGTATGATCCCACTTTTTAAGAAGTAACAAAAGCATTCCTCACTATCCAAATCTATCTGGCTCCAGAATAGAGACAACAAGCATGAATAGCAAGGGATACCATTTTAACTAAATGTATCAGACTCCTGAATTTCATGTAACAAGTAGGAAGAGTTAGGAGGGAAAGAAACTCATTAAACAATAACCTATGGTTTACAAACGCAGATAAGTGTTTGCATAGCAAGTGCTTTCTGTATACGGATTTCTATACCTATGTATAGAAAAAAGACATGCATCTTAAAATGCTGAATGAGTAGAGAGGCTGACAGGTTACTTTTATTTAGCTTTCCTTCATTTGTATTTTCAAAGTTTTATACAATGAATATATAATAAGGGAGAAAAAAAATTTCAGAGTTGCTAACCCAAGGCCTAATCCTAGTCACAGATGTGAGTTTAGCAAAAATCAGAGTATTTATACATTCTGGGTATCTGGAGGCCAAAGTCACCCAGCTGCCCTCATTACCCAAGAAACCAACTTTCTTTTCACCTGGGGCAGCCAGGGCCTCACCACGTAGATGGGGAGGAGTTCTTGGCTTATGAGTGGCTGACAGGTGAACACGTTGTGAAAGGCAGTGATTCTACATGTTTGCATACTGTTTTAGCAGCATCTCTGTGCTTTGTGTAAAACCAGGTCAGGAGTATCCATGCAACATGGGGCAATTCCAGTCGCAACCAAATCTGCATCTGAGGATGAGGTGGAAGAAACACGGAAGCACTGGTTTGGGGAGGGGTGAGGTGGGGTTGTTCACCTCAAAGACCACAGGGGACCATAGCCTTGTATGCACCAGGCCACACAGAGGCACCCTCAGCACCCCCCCAGACAGCCTGAGCCTTTCCTTTCTACAGAAAGCTCGTCCAGGGAGCACAGACAAAACAATGCCAAACTAAACCAGTGCTGGGAAAACCAGGCTCAGGCACACACTCACCAAAGAGCTGAGAGGGATTCGCATTGGTGGCCTTCTCATAGTTAGTGAGTCCTTCATAGATGACCTTCCCAACGGCTGCATAGAGGCATTCCAGCTCTTCATACTTGGAGGCCACACTGGAAGTGCCTAAAACAGAAGCAAGAACCTGGCCTCTGTGGTTTGGGTTCTCAGGCCTGTCCAGGCCCTGGGACATTAATCTCCCTCTCACTAAGGGGCTGAGTTTTAGTTATTTTGGGATCTGTGACAACTGGCATGAGCACTTCTCTCCCATTGGTGCTCCCCTCTGGGCAGGGTTCCTACTTTACGAAGACAACTGACAACCTTTTATCTCACTTGAACTCACTTCAAAATACACTTACAGTATTTATCTTGTCAATTGTTCAACATCTGACAAAATATTTTCACCTAACTTCCCTTTACTACCTTAAGGAAACAGGAATGCTCAGCTGATGAAGAACTGCAGACAAAAAATAGAATGCAGTGACTACTGCTATTAAGTTCTTATGTCAATTTTTGTTTAAAAGGTTGAAAATATAAAGATAAGTGAAATAGTAAAATGCTCCATATAGTAACTGGAGGATGAGCACTCTCCAATAACAAGCTTTGTGCCCACCCATCCACTCAGAAAGAAAGGCATCAATGGGGAAGGTCACATACTTGGCTCTGTTGGGAAAATGCTCATTAGGCGTGAGAGAAGGCTATGGACTGCTCGTAAGACTTTGGTGTTTCCACATGTCATACAGGCAGCGATTCCACGCTGCAGGGGTTTGAAGCTACTGAGGATGGCTGGAGACTGGAGAACAGTTAGCAAGAAACTCAGCACTTCCAATCCTGTGCAAATATTTCCATAGTTAACTTGATTAGGCTGCTCCTGGAATGGAGAACACAGGTCACACGCAGATGAAATACTCCAGTATACTGAATTATAGTCAACCAAAATTTAAAACAATGTGCTACTGAGTATTTAGAAATGAAGTAAAAAAAAAACAGTAAAGAATGAGCACATGATACATATAAAAACATGTGACTACCATATTTTATTAATACAGCAGGACTTCATGTTTAATAAATTTGCTTTAAATATTTACTCAAAACTTTTTTAAAGCTCATGAAAAATATTCAATATTAAATGTTAAATTTTTGAAAATCACTAAAATCTGGTCTAAAAAGGCAAATACTACAATGCATTTTGTCTCCTTCCACCTTTTTATTTAAAATGCAAATATTCTTCCAATAAGAAAGTATCTTTGAAACTCTGTATCATGAAATCAATCTAACAGATGATACCAGAATTAAAAACAAACAAAACAAAACAATAAAATAGAAAACAGAGTCCATGGTTTGCAGTAAAGTATTGCTTCATGAAACTTTGTTTCTATGGTTTATACATATATGTGTATGCACTGGATTGTGAGGTAAAATCTCACTATGGGGAAAAGGTGGAAAGGTGTGAGCACAGCATATTGTGCTATGAAAACATTAGCCTATTTACTTATGGCTGAGCTTGACTTAACTATGATTGTATGTGATAGGAAAGAATTTGACTTTCCAAAGAGAAATAAATCTGCAGACAATCCAGAACTTATACATCAGGCTGGAATCAAAGCATGCGCTAGAGACTTAGGGGCATATGATCCTACTGTTTTCATAACACAGGTTACCTCTATAACCTTTCAAAAAACTTAAACAACATTAGTCTTTGCAATGCAAAATAACAAATGTTTACAATAGGTTAGCAACCCCCAGAAAATTATAGGATCAAGGATTTTATAAAAAAAAAAAAAAAAACCACCAAATAATCAGCATTAGGGGCTATTTCTTTGTCTCTACAGTGCTCAATAACAAATTCTATGTCCACCTGCTTTAAAAATTCAAGTTTATTTTAAAGGCTATTGCATAAATCAACTAAAAATGTTTATTTCAAGCCAGCCAGTAGGTCAATTTTAAAAATGAGACTTCAGAAGGCTAGAGAACTATTATATTTTCAAAACTAACTATACTCGGTGCTGGGGGGTGAAAGCTGAGGTTTTAAAACCATTTTCGGGTAGTGAAATTCCCTCCTTATTGGCAGTATGAAAATTAAATAAAATCTCATTTAAAAAGGCCAGAAGGGGGAGCCCTCAGGCACTCTGGACACTACCACTCCTCAATTAGAGACCCCCAACAAGATGGTGAATTACAGGCTCCAATAGGAAGAATTGTCAATTACAGATCACAACAGGAAAAAACGCACACTACCTTATTACTCCACCCAGAAGAGTTCCTCCCTTGCCCAGCAACTTATCCAACAAGAAACAATAGCTACCCTGAACTCTCCATTTCCTCCATCCCTCCAACCGACTTTTCTTCAAAATCATCCCTCTCACACTCCTCTTTTCTCTCTAGAAAGTAACGTTCCTCTCCTTAGCTTGCTGGACTTGCACTATGGTTTTTGCTATAACATGCAATTCTTCTGCTATTCCCACTTTGCTGGTAAAATAACTGGCTATTTTATTTTTAAGGTCAACAGCAGCCAGAAGACAAAGTGGAAGGGGCCACAACTAGACAAAGGAATGAAGGTTCAGATTTTGGTGGCCTAGCCCCAAGCCCAAGCAATTGCAACAGATCCCCACACCTACCACACTCATCAGCAGCTTGTCGAACCACTGGAGTTTGAGCTCAGACTTGGACCACATGTCCGGTCGCAAGGCAGTTTTCAGGAGGGTCACACAACGGCGAGAAAGCACCTCCCCAGGAGACCCGGCAGTGTTGGTGTTGTCGTTAACCTGGAAGTTCACTCAATTCAAGCCCACATTTCACTGCATAAATCTTCAGTCATTCTGTGACACTGCTTCTTTCCCATGCCCCACACCCTTGCATTCCTGCTCTCCACCTCACAGCTACCCACCTCCCACTGGACTCAGCTCAGCCCTCTCTGCCACGGGGACCCTCCCCACAGGACCCTCCCTCTCCCTTACATTGGGTCAGTGGTGATTTGCAATCATTTGTGTAATTGATTGATTAGTGTCAAGAGGTTCCCTGAGGGCAGGATCTGTTCTCCTCCCTTCTGAACCTACTAAGCTGTGTCTAGCACACTGCAACAGGCAAGAAAGTAGTGGTTGAATAGTTTAATACAGTGATTTTCAACTGGTGTGCCACAAGAATTTTTAAAGCATGTAATATCTGACTACTTAGTCAGGAGCACTGACCTCTTTTCCCTTAGACTGTCAAATAAAAAAATGACAACAGCCAGCACAACAGCCATCCAGGTTGAATGAATCAAAATTATATCTATATTTTTTGTCAGATTGGCAAAAAATATATTTTTGGTGTGCCACAGAATTTCAGTAATTAGCTTATGTGTGCCGTGAGATGAAAAAGGTTGAAAATCACTGGTTTAGTAGGTTCTTTTCAGTACTGGGAAAGCCTCAATAGTATTGCAAGACACATTATTTTGTTTAATAATTATAAAAACTGAAGATTACTAAATTTTAAAAAAAAAAACATAGAAAAATTTCATTTATAATATTTCTTTGAAATACAAAAAGGAATAGTTTCAAAAATAGATCACCAATAACTCCATGAAAACCAATATTGATATGAGTGCTTGCATTTATTTATTGATTTTATTTATTGATTTTAGAAAGAGGAAGGGGGAGAGGGAAGGAGGGAGGAAGGAGAGGGAGGGAGAGGGAGAGTGAGAGAGAGAGAGAGAGAAACATCGACTATTGTTCCACCTATTTATGCATTCATTGGTTGCTTCTTTTGCGTGTCCTGATAAGATCAAACCCTCAACCGCAGTGTATCAGGACAACACTCTAACCACCTGAGCTACCCAGCCAGGGTGTATTTAAGTTAATTGTTGTGTTGGACTATCCCAACACCTTTATGAACTATGTAACTTGGAATTTAAATAATTTGCCCAAGATCACTGAACTACCATGTTTCACCAATACCACAATTCCATTAATTATTAGATATACCATTACATTATCACCACTAAGAAAAGAGTATTTCTTAAAAGTCATATGAATTATAAGACAAAGCAGATTTCAGAATTATTAGCATGTCATGAAATCAATGAAATCTTCCATGAAAGTGACAACTACCTGTCAAACCTTGGTTTGTCTATTTCTTTTTTGACTAAACTGTCACAGACAATATTCTACAGTTGACCAAGTAGTCTTTGTTCTGAAGAATCCTTAACACACGACATTCAGAATCCGTACCTGACAAGCCACTCTGATGAGGAAGTTGACCACAGCGTCCGTGTGCTGTTTATCAATGGGCTTGGCCAGAAGGGAATCCGCTCCAGGCAGTGACTGGCTCCTCCCAAACACCTACAAAGTCAGGAAGAGCCTTCTCAACAAAGCATTCCGGTGTATGGCCCTGGCTCCTGCAGCCCGCTAATAGGGAACACGTGCCATTCTGGGCACTGGGGACACAAGAGGCAGGCATGGTGTCCACAAGACAACTAATAAACAACCAGCCACAAAGAAAATAATGGGTCATGTGGTCAAGACTGGAAGGGAGAGTGGTCCAGGAAGTGAAAGAATGACACCAAGGTACCTCTATGAGATTGAGAAAAGCCAGCATGAGAAGAGAGGACTGAGCCAGTGAGAGGTAATGGAGCGAGTGAGCAAGTCCCAGTGAGCACAGAACTGGTGTCTCTGAGGCCTGTGTGACTGGAGCAGCGTGAGCAAATGCAGGGGCATAAAGGCCATCAGAAGGGCCAGGTCCTGTGGCACTGAAGGCCAGGGTCAAGGGGAAGGATTACTGACGGAAAAGACAGCCTGTCTTCATTTTTTAAGTTTTTATTTGAAAACAGTCACAAGAAGTTATTACAGAGGTCCCATGAACCCTTCACTCAGCTTTCCCTGGCTTAAATTTTAAAAACGACTTTTTTTGGTACTCTGCTCTGTGAAAAGTGTAACAAAGAGAGATAAAAGGGGAAGGGTGAGAGGAAATGGAAGGCAGTTTCAGTAATCCCAGGGAGAAGCGACAGGGGCATCTGCTTGCACCATGATGGTGGGAACAGAACTGAGAGAAGAGGATGGGTGTTCGTAGCTGGCCGGCCAGGACTTGCTCTTGACCAGATGTTTGGAGAGAAGAAAATGGACAGATTGCAGATGGTTCCAGGTTTCTAATTTGAGCACAGGGGAAATGCAGGGGCCATATACTCAAGGAACAGAGTGGGTGGGAGGGAGAGTGAGTACCCACAGGGCCCTCTTGGTGCCCAGCTGCCCTCCAAACAAAAGAGGACATGCTATCTGCACGGGGACATGTTGTCAATGAATTTTCTTGCCCCAAAGAGTTTCTCTTGATGCCTTTCTGCAGGTAATTAACTATTATCATCAGCATTCTAATGGTATTAAGTGGCACAAAGAAAAACGTGTCTGGTAACTTGGGAAACACCTCGAGTCAGTAGCATGTCACTGGGTTTCTCTCTGTGGCATGCAGCCCTTCCCAGCTATTTCCCTGGCACTGTGCTGGGCACTTAGCCCACATTCCAAGTTTGTTAAATAAATGAACAAGCTCCCACAGGAAGCATAGAGCCTATAAGAGGAAGCACACGGCTTACTGCACTGATTGCGCCCGTGGCCGTCCTGAAGCGTTTCACTTCCTGGGCGGAATCCACTGACAGGCCCCTCTTAATGGAAGATGAGACAGAGGTGACGCCTTCTCCACTGGAATTCTGGTCCATCTCTGAGTCAGGCTTAAAAAACAAACGCATGTGACTCTACTGATCTCTACAGAGAAGCGTAAGGAATACAATCAGGGATGGATGGCACGGGAGGGCGAACATCTCTACCTGCTGGTCCTTGATCCTCTGGAGTTCCCACTTGATGACAACTTCTGACAGGTCCACAGCCAGCCTTCTCTGCTCAATGGTGACGCTGGGGGTGAAGCCCAACTTCTGCATGGCACTGACCATGTGCTGGACCAAGTGGTGCCGCACTGGGTAGTACACCTGTGGGCACAGGACTTGTGTCACCCCAGGGATGTTGTGCTGTGACCCCAGCACACATATGCACATGGACACATACACATACACACCACCTGCCTCAGCCCCAAAACACTCACATAAGCCAACCTCCTGTTCAAGAATTCTGAACCATAACTTCAGTGAGGAAATTCTCATTACCTTATGTGTGTGTTTATCATTTCTCCCATCCCTGGTTGAGTTCCAATAAAATAGTGTATTTTGGCATTTTAGTATCATCTTTTAAAAATGTTGAAACACTGATTCTCTTTAGGTAGACAAGTCTAGTCACCTGAATCAAATTTTACACTTGCTATCATAACAGTTTAGCCAGGCCGAGAAGCTAATTCCCAATTCTAAAAGAGCTGGCTACAACAGCGTTCAACTCAATACCACTAATTCCTTTCTCCTCTACCCAAAATCTACAAGTACTTATATATTTACAGTATTTACCTTTGTTGGATTTACATAAATCCAACAAAGTAGACAATTTAGCTACAGAGAGGAGATGCCAACAACAAGAACAACTTTTTAAGCCAAGTTACCAAAATCTAGAGTTAATGATGACTCCACCCAAAGTAACAATTCATATGTATCCAGTTAACTAAGTATTTATTTACAAGAAAAATTCAGTCTAGACAGAAACATTCTCTAAACTATAGCCATACACACATGCACACACACACTAATCAATGGACCTGAAATACCTTTACTAAAAGATTAATAACCCCCTATTATTGCAGAAACTGAAAAAAAGGCAAACTGTCCAAGCAAATGCCTGAAAATGCATCAGACATCAATCTACAGTACTTTCTATGTACCTTAAAATGCTGCACTATCAAATGCAAAATGTGAACGAGCTGAGGAACCGTGTGCCCCTCCTCCACAATGATCTTCCTTGTCCAGTGGGTCAGCATCTGGTGCCCATCCTCCATTCTGGCTGGCACTGCCGGAGTCAGAATGGCCATTGCTTGTCTGACAATTGCTCGAGCTTCCATTGCATGGGCCTTGAGAAGACTGTGAAAAACCTAAAATGAGAGAAAGTCTTAGCTAAGATGAGAATAAAGGCTTTAAAAACAATCTCTTAGAACCAAGGCATATTTCTGCGAAACAAATTTTACAAAATTCCTCAAGGTGCTCTTACTGGGAAACAATGTAGTGGCTTTCTCCTTCATTAAGTTTTGACCAATGAATACATTCATTCTAATATTGATTGAGCACCTATTATGTGCCCATGCCTGGGTAGGGTGGAGCACACCAAAATGAATGAGCCCTGGCACCCTGCAGACATCAGTGTCTACCATAACTTGTGGGAAGTTACTCGAGGTGTACAAGTCATTTCACTCTGGCCACAGTAAGAAAAATGGAGTGAAAGGGGCCAAGATCAGAGACAGTGAATGGTGAAGTGCTTTTGTAAGTAAGTTCAGAGGAACACAAAAACCACCCAATAGTACTGAGGGTGGAGGGACAAGAAAGGTGTTGGAAATCAACAGGACATGCCCATGCCTTGACGCTAGGGAGAATGAGAGAGCATCACAGATGGCCCTCAGGTCTCCGGCCGGGATGACTGGGGTAGAGCAGTGCCAATCACAGAAACTGTATTTATATCTCAAGTGCCTGTGGGAGGTGATGTCTGAGGGGCCACTGGTTTTATCAGGGCCTGAGGTTTAATACCACAGACATTCACAAAACGCAGTGGTCAGAGGGAAACAAAGAACAACCTCACAGAACAGGACAAGAGCAACTGCCTACCAAATGCTTAAAGGGAAAGACAGATTGGACGCTCAAGTCTGTTATTACACTGAACTCTTACACAGAGACAGTAACCAACCCACTCAGGGTCATGGAAATCCTGAGTGGAAGAAACAACTCAAACCCAGGGCTGTCTGACAACAAAGCCTAAACCACCGAGAGACTCTGAGAAGACATACTCAAGATCAACACAGCAGAGGGCTTATGAGGGTTCAGAAGTATCCACTGTCTAAAGCAAAGGAGTGGGCTGGGGCGCTTGACCAAAACATTTTCAATGGAACGAAGAACTGGAAGCCAGAATGCAATGAATGCAATGAATGCAATGGGTAGAGGAGCAAGAGGTGGACAAAGGAGACATTCTGTTTTCTTTTGAAGCTGTAGAGGAACGTGAGTGAGCAATAACTAGGGAAGAGGGAGAGAATGAATAATCGTGGGAGATTTCATAGTATGTATAAGATGGTAGAGACGAGCATTACTGACTGGCATTGGGGAAAAACAGAAAAGGAGAGGTCACAATGGTACAGGAGCAGTGGGTACATGTGTGGAAATGCAGGTGATTGTTGGGCAGACATGAGGGAACCTTCCAAAGTACCTGAAGGACAATTTTCTTATGTATTGCAAATTTGGCAATAATGTGTGCCAGCAGTAAGTGTCCACTGTATTTGCAGGCTGGGTCTACACAGGCCTTGGAGAGCAGGCAGGGCCAGGCAAAGGTCATCAGGCGGCGCAGCTTGCTGTTGCGATTCTTGTTGTTGTCGTGGATGTGGTGAGGAGCGTGCTCCACCAGCAGTGTGGCATACTGCAGGAGGTAAATCCTCAGGGAGTCCAGCATGTCCGCCTGCTTCTCTGGGTCCAGGACCTACGGGGAAGACAAGCAGAAAGGAACTCCTGCTTTAAACCTTACACACACACATCTATCTATAGTATTAAGTTTTACAATGAGGGACCAATAATGTCACATCAAGTTTCCTTTAATACATAAGGATTAGAAACTCACTGAAGTTATTTCAACATTGCAGAAAAAGGGGCAGGCTTATAGCGGGAACGCAGAGGGCAAGGTGACTTGATGTGGGAAAAGAGGACTTCCTCTTTGATACAAGGTGATTTAGGGCTGAGTTTCTTAGTTTCCAGTAGTTGAAACTTTTTTTCCTGGTCAATACTAATTATCTAGTCCTTATTTTTCAGTATTAGGATCAGAAAATGTTACCTGGGGAAAAACCTCTATTTTTTTAAAAATTGTTATAGTTTTCTATGTAATCAAGTATCTGATAGATTTTTGTATGTGTTTCATGGATGTAAGAAAAAAATGTACACTCTCTGAGGAATATTCCGCATGTCTCTATTAAATCAAGTATTGTAACTACACCATCCAATTCAGCTAAGTATCCTTAACTATTTCTGTCTTCTGGAACATCTGAAAGGCTGAAACCTTCCATCACAACTGTGTCTGCATCAGGGTCCCTGCAGTGCCCTAAGTCATCCTTCCCCCGTATTCGCTGTGGCTCCTCCCCAGGGCTCCAGCCTGCCCAGCACCATTTACCCTCATCCAACATTTGAAATCCCAACTCCTCACTTCTGCCAAGTCTGTGTGGAGACCAAAAATAATTCCTTGGGCTTAGCTCACATTCCCTTAGCAGGGTGGGACTGGGGTTAAAACTGAAGGAACGGACAAAGATTAGGTAAAGAACAGTAACCTGCAAATGTGTGAACAGTCACTCTACTTGGACCCCCAAAGGGAACAGTCAGCACACGGAGTAAGAAAACTATCCTTCCAAAGAGCGTTAATGTATATGTGGTGCCCTGCAGACCTGGAACGTCTATCACTGACAGCACTCAACCCATACACGGAACACTCAATCCAATCTAACAGCCTCAAGGCAAATACAACACCCGCCTGTGAAGCTCAAAAGCCTAACCTGCAGAGGACAGCCCAGGCTTTGTGAAAAGCACAGGGCAAGCATTTCTCAAAAAAACATTAAATTCAAAAAACCTCGTTAGTGCAAATTGGAAACACTATTATAAAAATGCAAGGACCTTAAAACCTAAGCTAAGTTCAGACATCATTCTGCCATAAAGATGTTTCATTAAGTTGGCAACAAAGGGTCACGGCAGCAACTGCATCCAGTCTAATATTCTCACTGGCTTTTAGTAGAGTCCTTTGCGAAGCTAAATATGAAAACAAAACATCAAAACTCTACTGACCAGCAATAGAAGTTTTTACAAAATAACTTTGATATCTGAATTTTCATTGAGATACATCATTTCTCACTGGAATATATTAATGTAGAAAAGTTAATTCAGCCCTGGCTAGTGTTGCTAAATGGTTAGAGCATCAGCCCAAGCAAAGAAGGGTCTCAGGTTTGATTCCCCGCCAAGGGCATGGTGCACATGTGAGAGGCAGCCAGCCAGTGTGTCTCTCCCACATCAATGCTTCTCTTTCTCCCGCTCCCTCTCCCTCTCCTTCCCTTCCACTCTCTCAGAAAAGCAATGGAAAAAATATCCTCAGGTGAGAATTAACAAAACCAAAACAAAGATAACTCATTCCAAAGTGAGGTTGCCTTTAAAAATTCACTAATAAGAATTATAATACAGTAGTGTCTGCCCTCTCCCCCATGGTTTCGCTTTTCCCAGTTTCAGTTACCCACAGTCCACCATGTCCAAAAATATTAAATGGTAAATTCCAGAAATAATTCATAAATTTAAACTGCGTGCCATTCTGAGTAGCATGATAAAAATCTCTCGCCATCCCACTCCATCCCACCAAGGACATGAATCATCCCTTTGTCCACACTGTATACGCTCCCTGCCCATTTCACTTAGTAGTCATGTCAGTTATCAGATCAGCTGTTGGGGAATAGCAGTCCTGTGTTCAAGTAACCCTTATTTATTTAATGATGGCCTCAAAGTGCAAGAGTAGTGATGCTGACGATTTGGACATGCCAAATAGAAGCTGTAAAGTGCTTCCTTTAGGTGAAAAGGTAAAAACTGTTAACTTAAGAAAAAAATCATATGCTGAGGTTGCTGAGATCTTCAGAAAGAACGAGTCTTCCACCTGAAATTGTGAAGGAAAAAGAAATTTGTGCTAGTTTTGCTGTTGTACCTCATGCAAAAGTTACAGCCACAGTGCATGATAAGTACTTATTTAAGATGGAAAGGCACTAAATTTGCGAGTGGAAGACATGAACAGAGAACGTGTTGTGCCAGAAAGCAGCGAGCCTATACGACGATTTCAGCAAGGAAGCTCCTGAAATGAATGACACCAAGCCATTTACTACAATTCAAGATGGAGCTTACACAGATCCAGGAATAGGTCTGACACTGTGTCATCTCACAGCATCACAAGAAGGGTGAGTTCAGCACAATAAGATATTCTGAGAGAGAGTCCACATTCACATAATTTTTATTATAGCATATTGCTGTAACTATTTTATTTTGTTATTATTGTTAATCTCTTACTATGCCTAATTTAAAAATTAAACTTTACTGTAGGTATGTATGTACAGGAAAAAACACAGTATGTATCGGGTTCAGTACTATCTGTGATTTCAGGCGTCCAATACTGGGGCATCTGGGAACCCATCCCCCCATGAATAAATAATGCTCTGCTACAAGCTAATGGAATCAGGAAAAATTAAAGCCTTAGGGAAATGAGCTCATTTCAGTGAATCCATCTCTCTCTCTCTCTCTCACTCATACACACACACGTACACACTCATCTGCCAAGCTACTTTGCAAGCCAATGCACTGTTAGTCAGTCACCTTGGTTATAAACACACTGGTGATGCTTTCTGGGTTATCGCCTTCTGGATTAGGAGGTCCTAAGAGTTGTTCTCCTTCCCCCTTCTCAAAGCTGTATAAGAAAGCAGGATTCAAGATATGCTGCAGAACCTACAAAAAATAATTTATAATAATGGAGGAGGAAAACAAAGCCATGCTCCATTTCTTTAATAAGGTGGGCAGGCCCACCGGTCTGCTCAATCTATAACCCATAAAGTTAGAACTCAATCAAGAGCAACTGATAATCATTACTTTTATTCCAAAGGTCAACTGGAAAAGTAGGTTAAATACTTGAGGAAAAGAGACGTAAGCTTGGTTACTCTTCTCACTTCAAATAACTCATTTTCTAAAAACAAGGTAACCACACCTGAAACCTAATAATTTTATTAACCTCAATAAATTCAATTTAAAAAAGTAAAAACTAACAAACTTCTTTCCAACACTGGTTCACTGCTGGATCTGTCTTATGTTTCCCAACAATGGCATTTTCCTCATAAATAGTCCAAACTACTATTTAAGTGTCAACAGAGACACAGCAGAACATAAAACTGTCCTTGGTTCCCTAGGTAATTAGCTCAAACACCCATGGCCTCTACTGTGTAACAGCGGGACCCACCTTGGCTTTCAGTTCATCTCCGAAGTTGGGGTCACTGAAATCCACAAAGTGAAAAAACAGGGCACGCTTTTGAGCAATGCTATAATTTTTGGGAATCTCTTCCTCCATATACTCTTTTAAGAATGTCATGTTGCAGAGAAAACGACCAGTAAAGGCTCGGAGCAGCTGGAACAGCAATTCTATATCTCCATAATTCCTTCTGAAGGGTCAAATAAGAAAACAGGTTAAACTGTGGCAAATTTCCTAACTTGTCTAATTTTAAATAGCTAAGTTATAGTCCATTTTCTATACCAGGGGTGGGGAATCTTTTTTCTGCCAAGGGCCATTTGGATATTTATAAGATCATTCACAGGCCATACAAAATTATCAACTTAAAAATTAGCCTGCTATATTTGGTAAAACATTTAATTAACTCACCCCTAATGTCATGGCTGGAACTGCTTCTTTGGTGAGGCCTTGGCGGGGCCAGACCAAAATATTTTGCGGGCCATATGCTGCCCCTGCTCTATACCAATGAACCACGGCTATATACAAATTAGTAAAGACTGCGTATTGGATAAAATGAGTCACTTGATATAAAGCTCAACAGGTGCACCCACTTGCAATAATTCAGCAAACAGTAGGCCAGCAGCTTGGGCTCCTTCCAGTTCGTGGCAGCCATGTTCTCCTTCCGGTGTCTTTCTTGAAAGGTTTCACTGATCCACACGCGTCTCAGCTGGCTCACCAGAGAATGCTGATTGGCCAGCCAGGAGTCATTGTTTTTAACTATAATACTTATAATCTGTCAAAGAAGAGACAATTAGGTGACTGGCAGGGTTTCTGTGTCTCAACTAAGCTTTTAAGATTTCAGATGTCTAAATGAAGGGGCGCTACCTTGATGGCCTGAAACTGAAGATCCAGGCGCATTGTGCTGGTGCTGGGTGAGCCAGGACGCATGGCAGTCTGAGTACCGCCAGGCAACAGCAGAGTGATGAACCTGTTGGGGTTAGCTGCCAGCACATCTCGCAGAGGCCTGGCATCTTTGTGTTTTAAAAAACTCTGAAAATAAAACAAAACAAGCTGTTTTAAGCTAATTTAAAAAAATCAAAAAAGATTTAGATGATATCAACTCTAAGGTTCTTTCTAAATCTCTAGGCAGGCTGAAAAACAACACTGTAAACACTCTTTTTTAAAAATGCTTCTTGGCAGAAGCTCTCCCTCCCAGGAGCACACCCGTGCCTTTCCCCTCTCACTCCCCCCACAGGCATGCATCTCCTAAACTCTAAAGGACCCCACAAGGCTTGCAACCAAGGAGCAATGGGTAGGGGCAGTTCATCCCAGGCAAACCCCTTGACCCTGTCCCCAGGACCCCTTTTCACTGACTTCTTAGTGACCCAAAGCAGCCCAACCTAGGCTCATTTCCCCACTTAGTCCCTCTCCTGTTGCTTCTTCTATCCTAGGCCTTCCCTTGTTTCACTGTCCTCAGATTTAATAAATGTACTCTAAAATTTTAAAAATAAATGCTTTTTAACCAGTAATCACACTTTATGATTATGATTTTGATAATCCTGCAGTTCATTCATTTGCTACCACCACCAAAATCTACAGAGAGGAATTCCTGGACTTTGAAGTCTTAATATACACAACAATTTTTCTAATATTCAAATATATTAAGAGAAAAAGAGAGCCTAACACTGAACAGTGAGATATGAATTTCAGATCCTAAGAGCATACTGGCTGACACAAAGGTTCAGGGACACCCAATTCCAGCTCCTCGTGCTGTTACCATAAACATTCTGCTCCACTGAGGATCATTCAATGTTGCCTCCATCATGAATAGCTCCACCGTCTGGGATGGGTGCCGAGTCAGAAACTTGATTAGAGGCTCTCTGAAGGGACTGCCAGCCTAGAAAACACATGATGGAAACATCTCAGGGCTTGAGGCTTTTCTTGGTCTACCAGCCTAACAGGGTAGGAATATATAT